CATCTGGAAGATGAATCATGGAGAATCCGAAATACCAATAGACGAGGAGGTGAGTAAAGGAGATCTATGTGTGTGTGTGTGTGTGTGTGTACGGCAGCAGTGCAAAAAGTGCACACACAAGCGCACGAAGGAGTGGAGACGCAGACAGAGAGACGAGCGCATTGACATTGTCGCTTAGCCACGAAGAGAGAGAGTCAGGTAGACGGTCGTCAAGGGGGAAGGTAAGGTGGTAGTGGGCACACCAGACAGGATGTTCCAGGGCGGGGGCAGTGGGGGCTCACCGAAAAGCATACATATGCACCGAGGACAGAGCTCCCGAGCAAGAGTGCCAGCGCAGCAGAGAGCAACGACTGCCGAATTGCACGCAAAGAGAGAGAGAGAGCATAGTGGTAAATAACTAAATAAAATGAGTTTAAAATTCCATTAACTACCTATTCCTAAAGAGCTATATCTATTCTTTCTAATGCCTAGCTCTTTATTTTATTTCTTTTAACTAAAAATTTGTTTAGAAGGACCGAGTTCTTTGAACTACCTTCGTTTTTTACCTTTATTAATAAAAGTTTTCGTTTTAATAACAAAGCGGATAAGAATATAAATAATTTTAATTTTAATAATAATAAGCAGCTACACATTTCACAATATGTAATCTTGGTTTAATTAAATTTATATAATTTAATAAATATGTTTGTAGTTTCAAATACAATATTTAATCGACAATCGAAGGGGCGTTGTGTCGAAATTAACGGTTTATTTGTAATCAGATCCCACTGTACCAGCTTTTTGTTGCAGTCTGTCTGACGGTGGTGTAGGTTAATAACAAAGGAACTCGAATGAGCCCTGGGAAGTGGTATATACAGTGTGGATTGCATAAAATAAGAAAATAAGAAGGTTTAATTAATTTAATATTCATTTTTAAATCGCATACATGTCGTTTTTCTTTCCATAGATTTATATCAAAAGTCTGACGACCCAAAAACCCCCAAACAGTACAAAAAAGAAAGTTAGATAACCCAGAGGTATAGTGCCTGTGAATTTACTTCTAATCTTAAGATATGTATGTAACTCAAAAATAAATAATTGCAGCAGGGTTTACGACTTATCGCTTTTAGAAAAATATACAATACATACATAGATAGAAATTATTTAATTTCGTCCACCGCCGTGAAACCCCACTGTACCAACATATACATTTGCCGTCTGTGTGAGTGCATGTGCATGTAGGAGAGGAAGAGGAAGCAGGAAGCAGCAGCAGACGCCAACGTTGGCAGCGACAGCAGCAAAGCTGCGGCGCCGGGACGACGACGTCGCTCTCTTTTGCCCGTGTGTGTTGCCATTTCTTTCGCACAGCGGCGCCGCGAAAGGGGTCGCCGCAAGGGGGGTCTCTGCCGCTGCCGACGTCTGCGAATAAAATTCGCGCATTTGGGCTCTTGATTCGCCGGAGACTGAAAGCGTTGAGCATTTGATCGGCAACAGCCGGCGTTCGCGGTTCTCTTTTCGTCTTCGTTCTCCTCTCACATTGCCTTTGCCACTTTTCGGTTTATCTCTGTGGGCAGGAAAATCGGCCGGGCCATATAAAATAAAAGGCCAGACAGTTTCTGGGCTTTGGCACAGTCGTTCATTCCGCACCAAATGGGAGACAACAACGTGGAGAGGAGAGCGAAGAGCAAAGAGCAGTGGGCAATAAGCAACAAGCAACAGAAAATATTCACGAAATACGCGTGTTGTGTCCGAGTGCGTGTGTTGGTGCGTGTGTGAAGCGAAACTAAAGAAAAATGCAACGGAAGTTGTCACCGCAAAATTCAACGAGAAACACTCGCAAATAAAAAGTTGAAAACGGAACTGCAAACATATTGTGAAATTGCGAGAGACTCCAGCAAAAAAGAGAGGAGGCGAAGGCGACAATCAACGTGGTTTCTGGAGCTTCTGGGTTTTTCTACCAAAAGGAATTAAAACGAACACAAAAGAAACGACGAAAGAAGAGCGGTTTATTTTTAGCATTTTGATATCACAAGGCAGTTTTTTTCGCTACACTACGAGAAAAAAGAGAGCCGCAGAAAAATGACGCAAATGTTTGCCCATGTGTGTGTCGGCGACCACATGATTCTACATATTTCCACATAACCCACACAAAGACACAATTTGGGGAACTTTTTGTCGCTCAAATATTAATTTTAGATAGACTTTTTTTTAACCCAGACAAAGCTCACACACAGACACGCTCTTCTTCATTTGCCAAATGGCCAAGTCGTCTGTGTGTGTGCGAGTGATCAAATTTTTCGCAGGGGCTTCAAATTTTTTCGCTCAGGGTTAAGGACAAGAACAACTAAAACAGCGGCTTGGCTAGAAAAAAATCATGTGCAGCGAGAAGAGAAGGAGAGAAGTGGAGCCCAACACCCACACATAGACACTAGCAGACATCAGACATGCAGTTTTTGAGGTTAGGAATGCCCCACCCAAGCAATGGCCGCTCATTTATATACTGCAAATATACATATGGATTTATATATACACTGGGGTTGTATATATGCGGCTGTCGCGCAGAAATTCGCAATTATTCACAGTCCAAAGCTGTTAGCGATCGCAGGTTTATGAGGCGTTGTAAAAAAAATGGAAGAGGAAAAGAAAACCGAAAAGGCAGTTAAAAAAAATACTTTTGCAAAATTTTAATACGCTCACACAGACGGAAAGAGAATTCGCAAATGTGTTGAAGGCACGTGTGTGTCTCAGCGGTGTTTGTGCGATTTTTGCCAGTGTATGTGTGGTGATCACGCACGTATGTAGCTTCGGTTAGTAACAGAGAGCGGGAGAGTAGATAGCCAGAGAGAGCTTAAAACGCCGGTTCTTTTTTTTTCGCCTCGCTCTTGCCGTCTGTATGCTCATTTTTTGTCGTCTTTCGTTTTGCCTCCTCCTCTTAGCTTTCATTTCTTCTGCTTGTTTCTTTACAGCGTTTCAAATATAGAATATCAAGGGTCTGCCAGACGAATCGCAAAAAAAGGAAAGGAAAGAATTTGCTGAATGAAAAATGTAATAATTTGCCGCCCGGTGACGTCATGTCCTATGTGGTCATTAGCACTCAAGAGTATCGGACGTTTTATGTGTTCTCTTCTCTCATATGACTAATTTTGGCATTGTTTTTTTTTGCCGTTACCAGAATTCCAGCGGAAATAAGCTAGGAAAAAGTAAAATCGAATTTGTTTATAAACCATAAATCAAGAAGGTATCCAAATTTACACTGAAATGGTTTCTTTTTGAATAACGACATCTTATTTGTGTTTTTACAGTGAACTTAAAACCCGATTAATGGAATCAGATTATTATTTTTTAATATTTAAAACTATAAGAAACATTAGGTTTTCTTTGTTGTTGGTTATTTTTGTTAACAAAACGTGATACTTTTTACTTTTCATTAATTTAGTTATTATTTGAAAATATTTAAATTTTCTTAAAAAGAACTATTTTAGTTAGACTTTTTTAAACTTCTATAATTGATACATTTATGTCGTTAAAATTAATTTTTAATTTAAAATTCCTTCTGGCAACACTGCGTGCTCATATGACTAATTTTGGCATTGTTATTGCATAAAATCCGATGTGGCGTCGCATGAAGTCATCGAGCACAACTACCAGAGCCCGCGGAGATCGTTAACCTTAAAGCTGGAACACACAACACAAGGCACAAGGTCGTTGTTTCCCCTCACCATCTCGCCAGGAGGAGGACGGGGAGGGTGAGGCGGCTGGGCAGCGAGGCGCGGTGAGGCGTCGTCGCCATTTGCTGCAGTTTTGTTGCCAGGCGGCTGAACATCTGTCTCTGAAGAAGCCTGAAAACCTGCCGACTGGGCTTGGCTTCATACATCTACATCTTAAACTTGGCCTCCAACTCCAGCTTGGCTTATGCGGGACGGGATGTGTTCCTTCCCAGCTGAAAAAGTCTCTTACCTTGCGCGCTAATCAGTGACCGGGGCTGGTTTTTATATACAGTCAGGTACCTGAAGTAGCGCGCGTGGTGCCAGACATATATCATCGCCAACAACTCATACCTCGTGAATCGCGAATTTCGAATCCTCGAAAAGAATCCCACATGTATCTCCCATGTCTATTGTACTTCATCAGGTGCTCTGGTGTGGCTCGTAACCCGGCACATGTTGAAGTACACTCAATATGAGGTGATTTCCAAATTAAATAATAAGGGTGAAAAGTGCTATTTATATTTACATAATTTAAATAGTTTTTATATATAGTAATCTATTCCATTTTCGAGTGTTCAAAAGTGATGATATTATCAATAAACTTGTATTTTACCTTAATAATATTTAATATAAATTGTTTTATTTGTTTTAGGGGATTATAAAGATGGATGCCTTCAAATGTAAACTTAAATTAAACATATATTTGTCAAATGAGCATTGTAGCCAACATAGTTTAAGCCTCAAAAATACATACATTCAAGCTTTTTTCATGATTTTTCATAAATAATTTATTTTGTTTTGCAATAGATATTTAAAGAGGTTTAAAGTTGTTAATTTTTAAAGCATTTGCTATTGTACATTGATTTTAATTTATATTTAAAACTGTTTTGGAAATAAAACAAATCTCATCTTAAAATGAAAAATTATAACTTTATTAAACGTTTTGTGTACTCCACATTAAAGCCCTGATCAGGTTTTAAAACTAGTTATAGGGGCTTATTTATATATATTTATGCAATAGTTACAAAATAAGAACCACTGTCGCTTTGTTTTAGATATCATTTAACATTGAAATCTTCGAATTAAGTCCCATGCTGTTTAATAACAATAGAGGGCTTTTAATATAATATTTAATTCATAAATAATGTATATTTATAGTTTGAAAAGAAAAACTTTTTTGCCAGTGTCGATTATTTATACAATAAAACTATCGATAAGCTATCGTTACCTGTTATCACTAAAGAGTGTGACCAAATCAAAACCCTGTCTGTCATCAAGTTGCTAAATTTTCTTTATACAAAAAGTATTTCAAGACTACCTATTTTTATTTAAATTTAATTCAGTTTTTGAAAATTGTGAATTGTCAATTTTGCCATCCAGAAAATCTCTCGTTTTTAACATTTGTAAGCCGACTTGGTATTCTTTTAAGTATCTTCCTCCCCGCGAATACTGTGCCATTTTTTGGCGTTCCCAGTGCGTTCACACTGACCTCCTAAAGGTTATCGGCATAACAATTTTTTGTAAATTCTCGATTTTGCCGTCTTTCGACTCGTTTTTATTTGTCCAAATTTTAACTGCCGCGCACACCCACGCCCATTGCCACCTGCTGGACTAGGATCAGGATCATCAACACCGCGGCGAGTCACGAGAAAGGATAACAAAAATGCTGCGCTCCCTTGCAACAACACGAAACGAAATTGGGGCCCTTCGCTCGGTGCTCCTGCGATCGAATAATAACGCCACCTATATCCGCCGATCCGCCGGAAATTTGGGAGTGCGCGCCCTCAGCAGCCAGCTGATCAATGGCCGGAATCTCCAGAATATTAGGTAAAATCCCACGCAAAACAAATTACTTTGCGCTGCTGCGTTTCGTTGAGGTTAGAAATGGTTGTGTAATATTGCAAAATGCGTACGCGCTGCACTGCTGCAAGATTCGGTGGCGGTGGCGCAGGGGGCGGATGATTGACAGAGCCGTGTCCCAAGTATTTAGCATCAATCAGACATATATGTATATGTATGTATATGTATATATGTATGTTTGCATGTATAGTGCGTGTTCCGCCGCTGATTTGTTTTATGGCCAAGGTCGAATACACGCTTCCATATATCGCATGATGCGTGATAGTGCCTTCAGCTGATTTCTGTTTCTGTTTCGGTCTCGCCTGATAAGCTGGAAAGTTTTCGTCTTTACGCGAATTACCAAATTGGTCATTTGTTTACATCGTGTGCGTGTGAGTGATTGAACACAGAATAAGTGCAGGTGTTTGTGGGTAAACAACAACAAACGATCAGCTGACGATGGCGGCCATAAATTAACCCAAAAGATATTGTTTAAAACCATTTGGGGTCAAGAAGAGCAAAGGGTTTTTTAATTTAAAAATTAACGATATATTAGCATTAATATATTAACTATTAACTGACTTGAGATCTTGTATAGATTAATATTACTTTTTTTTTAATAATTAAATTTAAAATTTATCTAAAACTCTCTCCATCTTCTATTAACAGGTCCAAATTAGTCAACAGTCAGCCCCAAACCTTGACCGGATGGAGCTGCAACTTCGCCCGTGCCTATGCCAGCCTGCCCGATCACATGAGGGTGCCGCTGCCCGCCCTCTCGCCCACCATGGAGCGCGGCTCAATTGTCAGCTGGGAGAAGAAGGAGGGAGACAAACTCAACGAAGGTGGGTAGGCCAACAAACCCCACACACAACCCAAATTCGAAAACAAATCTAACACAAATTTAAAATTTTAGGTGATCTTTTGTGCGAAATTGAGACGGACAAGGCAACCATGGGCTTCGAAACGCCCGAGGAGGGTTATCTGGCTAAGATTCTTATTCAGGGCGGCACCAAGGATGTGCCCGTCGGTCAGCTGCTGTGTATTATTGTGCCGGATCAGGAGAGCGTAGCCGCTTTTAAGGATTTCAAGGATGATGGCCCAGCGCCAGCTGCACCTGCCTCTGCTCCAGCTCCAGCGGCAGCTCCGGCGGCAGCCGCACCAGCGCCACCACCACCACCAGCTCCGGTTGCCGCTGCGCCTCCAGCACCAGCTGCTGCTCCAGCTGCAGCAGGTACGCAGGGCCGCGTATATGCCAGTCCGATGGCCAAGCGACTAGCCGAGGCACAACAGCTGCGACTACAAGGTTGTTCAATCCTAACTAATGCCAAGATTCCTTGCATTTCATTCCATTATATTTCCCTCCCCCTGCATTTCGATGTGCGTACTATTGGCTTGACTAAAAAAGTGCATCACCATCCATTTCCATTTTCCCCCCTTGCATTTATAGCCCTTCCCCACCACCTTGTCCAATTGTTCTGTTACTAATACGCGGCTTTTGTGTGCGCAGGCAAGGGCAGTGGAGTCCATGGCTCAATTAAATCTGGTGATCTTGCAGGCCAGCAAGCGGCGGCCAAGCCAACAGCCGCTGCACCCGCTGCGGCTGCAAGGGCAGCCGGTGCCCGTTTCCAGGATATTCCGGTGACCAATATGCGATCGGTGATTGCCAAGCGTCTGTTGGAGTCCAAGACCCAGCTGCCTCACTACTATGTCACTGTGCAATGTCAAGTGGATAAGGTAAGTGATGGATGCATGATTTCTAATGAATCCCTAAACAAATATATAATAAATATAAATCTTTTCCCTACAGCTCCTCAAGTTCCGTGCTGAGGTGAACAAGAAGCACGAGAAGGAGGGCGCCCGCGTCTCCGTCAACGACTTCATCATTAAGGCTGTGGCCATTGCCAGTCTGAAGGTGCCCGAGGCGAACTCTGCCTGGATGAACACCGTTATTCGTCAATACGACGATGTCGATGTTTCGGTGGCTGTATCCACGGACAAGGGTCTGATTACGCCAATTGTTTTCAATGCGGATCGCAAGGGTGTCCTGGAGATATCCAAGGATGTCAAGTCGCTGGCGGCCAAGGCGCGCGATAACAAGCTGCAGCCCCACGAATTCCAGGGTGGCACCATCTCGGTGTCCAACCTGGGCATGTTCGGTAAGGAAATTGTAGTTATTTGATGTATATAAAACAGATTGTAATTATTTTTATATTTTTATAGGTGTAACTCAGTTTGCTGCCGTCATCAATCCCCCGCAATCGTGCATCCTGGCCATTGGCACCACAACGAAACAGTTGGTTGCGGATCCTGACAGCCTGAAGGGGTAAGTTTTCTATAATATCGTATTTAAAATTTAGCATTTTCACGAAAAATTAGAAGTTTAATATTTTAAAAATATATATTTTAAAAAAATCGATAAAAATAAATTTTTATACACTAAAAAATAATATTTAAATTCCAAAATAGTTTAATACTTTAACTTTAACTTTAATATTTATAATATTTAAAAACCTTATGAGAGGCTTTATAAATAAAATTAAGAGTTTATAAGAATTTTAAAATTAATAATATATTAAAAAATCCATACAAATTAAATTTTTTTTACTAAAAAATATTACTTATTATTTATTTATTTATTAAAATAATTTATTACTTAAACTTAAACGTTATACATATTTTTTTGTGATATTTAATTTTAAAAATCAAATTTTCATTATTAATAAAAATAAAATATCTGTTTTTTTTCCAGTTTCAAGGAGGTTAATGTTCTGACTGTCACCCTGAGTGCCGATCATCGTGTGGTGGACGGAGCTGTGGCTGCCAGGTGGCTGCAACACTTCCGCAACTACATGGAGGACCCTGCCAATATGATATTGTAAAGCAACCCCCCACCCGGCACGAACCTTCACATTTAGAGAGAGACTCCAACGAAAAAAGAAATAGAAACAAAAGGAAATCACAATTTAACGGCTTTCTCAAAGCGAGTCGGACATAAAAATTTTGGATGTGTGCGGATTCTAATCGGTGTTATCCTATATATATATTCGTTATATATGTAAAATTTTAAACATTGGCACTCATCCCCATGTAGGCACTTACATATATACATATACTTGTAGAAATTAAATTGTGTAATATTTGATGTAGTTAATGAATGATATTCGAATGAACTCACACTCAAAGAGCTGTAAATTTCCGATTGATATGCTGCTACATCAACCGATATGCATCCAGATAATATTATAGTGTATGCTTTGTTCGCATCTGTTGATCATGATCGATTACGAAAAAATGGAAATAAGTAGATGAAAGTCCAAAGACGCGTTTGAATAAACCTAAAAAAACACTCACATGAAACTAGCCAATTCATAAAAAAATACAATTAGTGTTTTTATTATTTTAATGTTTTAAGGTGGGGAAATATTTATGATTGAACATAAAGTTCATTTTCATTATATTTCCAAAAGACGTTTGTATTTTAGAAGTTTTTGATTGGTATTCTTGGATTAAATTAAATAGTTTTACCTAAAGAATGTTTCTTTCTGAAAGTGGTTGAAAGAAAATAGATGATTTCATTCCAAAAAGGAAGTTAAGTAAACACACGAAGGTGTTTTTGGAACAACTTTATAGGAATTTTAAGTTATTTTTAAGATTCTTTTTGAACAGAACAGAACCGATTGATTATAGTGCTTAAGCTGATTGTAAATGGTTATGTCAACAGTGTTGACTCAACACCAATCAGCAGTCTTAGATTTATAGATATTTCTAAACAAACCTAAAGTCTGTCACCAGTACTAATTTGTTGACTTATTACTTTCGTCAAGTTGCTACTAAAAACAGTTGGGGATTCTAATCCAAAGGCTAAATAATGTGATTAAGTAGCTAATTGACTTTAAGCCCAGTTTTAAAAGCACTTAAATTATTTAAAATTCCTCCTAAAATATTGAGGATATACATTTTATTTTTCAAAATATTAAAAACTAAAAATTTTTTCTTTGGTTTATCAAATTATGAAACTAGTTTATTGCCAAAATGTTACAAACTAAGCAAACACAAGTTGCAAGTATTTACAAGCATAAAGTTAAGCTAATGTCAGTTGGGATGTGGAATGGTCTAGGCTTTTACCACTGGGCAGGACCCAGTTGGCTCCACTCGGCCACATAGTCGGCCTGCTTCTCCAAAGCGCCGATCCATTCGGTGCCGCCATAATCGATGGCGGGCAGGGTGCCCTTGTAGTTGGCGGGCAGGACAGAGGGATCCAGGAACTTGTGCAGAGACTTCATATCGCTACCATGGAAGTGCATCTGTTTATGGAATAAAACGATTTCCATTTAAAAATATATTTTAAAAAATGTCTTAAGTATGTTGGTACTCACCCTCTTGTTGAGCTTCTCCTTGACGAAGGGCTTGAAGAGCGACCAGACCATGTTGAAGATGAATGGCTGCTTGACAAAGTGCACCTCCTTCATGCGCAGCGGCATGGCCTCCTGGATAAAGGTGAGCAGGCGCTTGGAGAAGCTCGGCGACAAAGCCTTAACCTGCTTCATGGCCAGACCATCAAAGTCCATAACGCAGACGACACCACGGATCTGGGTTTCCTCCTCGCGCTGGGCAGCAATGTGAACCATGTACAGCATGCGGAACATGTCATCGCTGCTGATCTCGCTGGGATCCCAGAGTTTGCCGCAGTTAACGATGAGGACACGGCGACCCTTCTGATCGCAATTCTTCAGGACATTGATAACGCTGCCCTTGACGAATTTCTCCTTGACCTGCTCCACCAAAAGTCCACGGACAAGAGCGGCATACTCCTTGCGGAAGGCGGCAGTGGTTTTCATCTGAAAATAATTAATTTTTTAAAATTATTAAGGTATTTTAAATAGTAAAGTAAATTATATTATAACTTCTTTAATCATAAAATTGCAGAACTCTCATATAAAAACTCTCGCCACAGGTGACTTATACATATTCCTTGCGGAAGTTTTCATCTTTCGGCAGGTGCAAACATTATTAGATTACAATCCATAAACGATAAGGTAAGTTGACCATTGACCACATCCATAAAATATAACCATATAAGTTATGCGGCTTCCTATGATGATAAATACAAAATGGCGAACGAATTCGTTCGATTAGTGGCCTGATTCAGTTCTGCCATCCGACAGAGAATAGTACACATTGTATATGCATAGAGCGGAATCCGATCGGATCGGATCGAAACAGGGCTTATCGGGGGCTTCTCTCTGCCTGGTCAGCGAGTTCAGAAGCAAAAGTTATCAGCAGTCGGTCCTGAGTTGTTGCTTTTCTTTTTAGAATGTCTCATAGAGAGCTAGCTGATCGTATGTTCTTTTTTTTTCGTTTATAATATCCCATATATCATTTTACCGAGACTAGGAATGAGGTGGCTATATATTCGATGAGGCATTATAAACCTAAGATTATGATTTTATTACATAAAAAAAATGGAAGGTCAAACGTGGGGAAAATCAGACTCATATAATATTTATCTTGAAGTATAAGGTTTCTATAAGATATATAAATTAGTTTGTTTTATATATGTAACTTAACAAAAATTTGTATTTCTTTGTATATTCTTCTGTAGAATTTTTCGTAATTTTTAAAATTTTTTAAAATATTTATTTACTATTTCTTTTACTATTTCTTCCCTTCCCTTGACTCCTATTTTTCTTCTGCACTTGTTTGAACTTAGGTTATAGACCCCATTTCAATACTGCTCAAATGCCTTATGTTTGTGGGCTGATAACAGAAATCGAGACGTTTTAAACATATAAGAATCTCGTTGATAAGCTTAAGTCATTGGATCTTGTTTCTAAGGCGATCGTTCAATATGTACATAATGAATGCTTGACAGCATTTCGATTAGGGTACGAGATGAACCCTTGTGGAACGTAAGTTAATCAAAAGATTTGATTGTGTAGTGAACTGAATGAATATTTCGATTAAAACTGAACCATAACTAAAAATTTGACCAAGAAATAGTCATAAAAATGGGATTGGGTTTTAATAGGCTTTTGATTAATTAGTGAATATGAATTTTGAATATAAAACTAATTACTTCTGTTTACAACTCAATTATTATAAATATTTTTAGATGTATGGAAACCACTATATCTGTATCACTTTTTTATATAAATTATTTTCTAGTTTGTATAAATTCCCAAAATCATTCTAAAATAAATCAATAATTTCTCTCTCTCTCTATTTTTAAAATTAATGCCTTTAAAAAAGAGTTTTTGGAACTATTTTTCATGCTAAAAAAATGTTTAAGCCATTAGAATATATAAAGAAATTCATATAATATGTTTTAGCTACAAAATGTATGATTGGTAATATTTAAAAAATTTAATATTCATTGTTGAACAATATTAATTTGATATCCCTATTTTATTTTTATTTTCTTTCTATGTAATCTATTCTATTCTATTTATTCTTTTTATTTATTTTCTTTTCTAGGATTTCTAAATATTAAAAACAAATATTACTACTTGAAGACAGCATGTCATATATTTGCAATAAAAAAGCTATATTTCAAACCAGAACAGTTTTATTTTCTTAAAGGGGTCATATTCACTATATTTTATTCCTTCTTTTTTTTTTAGTGTAAAAATCCTAATGCTCTGTCATTAACTAATAAATTGTAAACTTTATTTTTCCAGACTCTCTAAATATTTAAACTTCTGTAAATACGCACCTTTTCCAAGGCTCCCTCCGGATAAAAGTGGCAGGCACGCAGGAAGACTGTGAGGAAGGCATCATCATCCTTATAGTTCAGCTCGGGCGTGGCCTTGAGGAGCTCCCTCAGCTTTGTGATGGCCTCCGCCTTGACCTCCTCCGTCTCCCTCAGCTCCACTCGGGCAATTTCCAGAGTGTCAGGCTTCAGATAGCCCAGACGCAGGTTGAAGGCCTCCTCGCTGATATCGACGGTTGCCATTTTGCTGTTTGTGTTTATAAATCAGGGCCTGCGTGTTTTCAAATGGCGAGAAATGCGTTTTGTGTTAGTTTGTTTTTCCTGATTGACCACACTGATTGCTATCCGAAAATTGCAAGGCACTTTTTGGAGTTGATTCGTTTGGGAGATCAATCTTCCATGATTAGGGCTTAAGGGTGAGGTTAGCACTCGGTACTATTTGTTTTCTTAATTTACCTACGGCGAAGTCTAAAACGATATTCACTGTCTCGAAGGTTTTCTGTGCTTCCTCGCGACTCGTGCGATTCGAGTCAACTGAATTTCGGTTTGCATTTGGAAACCCTTGTGAGTTAACTTCTATATTATATATCGACAGCGGCTGAGGCGTCGTCGGCGATAAAAGCAGCGGCGCTGGCAGAGGCGATCGCAGCCGTCTTGACTTGACTTCCACTTCCATTTCCATTCCTCCTTATCTCTTAGACTAATGGCGCTGAGCTTCACAGCACACACACACACACACACAGGGCAGAGCAACTAAAAACAAAAATAAAAACAAATAAAAAACCAAAAAATACTCGTCAAAAAAAAGGTCACAATTGCCACTGTCAATCACCTTACGCCTTTAACCCTCGGGCAATCTCCATTGAACCCTGTACTAGGCCTCAAAAGTCTGACTTTCGACTCAGTTCCGAGATTTTGAGATTTTGGGGTTATTTCGTCATTGATCGTGATGCTTACACGCAGTCGGGGGGAATCTTGAACCCTAGCTCAACTCAGCCTTACCTTTAGCCTTAGCAGTAGCTTTAGCAGTAGCTCATATCCCCATCTCCAGCACGTAATGAAAAAGACAAAATATAAATATCAATTAACGCCAGAAAAAAAGGTTAAAGCCAGCCTATTGACAGCGGAAACAGTGTACTGTTTATGAAGCCCCTCATAATGACAATAAAGCATTCAGATAAGGCCAGAAGGGACGATTTTAAAGTACCCTGTAAATGTTAAGGCATGGTATATAACGTATGTTTTCAATATAAAGATCAGAAAGCTATAAAATATATAGAAAAATCATCACAGAAAAGGTTGTTTAAATATTAAATTAAATTTATTACCCTAACTATTTGTTTTTATTAAAAAAGTAACTAATTTTATTGAATTTTTATAGCAAAACCATAGTGATTTCTGTGGCACTTCCAATTATAATTTTATTAGTTTTAAATTTATTAAATTAAGTTCAAGTTTTATTTGAGTTCCTATTTAACTAATTTTATTAAAGAGTATCAGAAAAACCACAAAAAAACATTAAATTTTTTACCTTTAATATTTTTTGGCAAATTATTATTACATTTCTTGATGATTTTATAATCATAGTGATTTCTGTAACATTTCTAAATATAATTTTCTTAGTTTTAAGTTTTATTTTATTCCTATTTAGGTAAATTTTTTAAGAGATTCAGAAAAGCCACAAATAAAATTATATTTTGTAGCTTTACTATTTCCTTGCCAATTTTTTAGCACATTTTTAATAGATCTAAAAACTTCTGTGTTTTCTGTGGCATTCTCAAAGTATATTAAAAAATAGCAAGGTATTTTTAGTTTAATATTAAAAATGTATATATCTATTTATTATTATTTATTTATTTTTAATTCGCTTTTTACTATTCAAGTTCAAGAAGAATCAAAGAATAACAAGTGTCTATATATATTTATTAATATTATTTTTCGTAAATAATATTTTTTGTTTACTCTCTTTGTACAAACACCACAACCTCTCCAATCAACAATTTCTTACAGGGTATTAAAACTACTCTCGAGTAAAGTCCAACATGGTTTTCTTGAGTGATAACAGCTCCCAAAAATATTCGACTCCTCTAGGGCCTATTATCGAATGTTTCATGTTGTGTTGGAATTCTAATCGCCTCTCATAATCCTTATCAGTGGGTCGACAGCAGCGCAGTCGCGAGCTTTATTTTCTTTTATTATTAATATTTTTGTTGTTATTGTTCCTTCAACGATCGCTGACTGTTTTGTTATTGTTTTCGTTGTGTGATCAAGTACTAAGCGGTGGTGAAAAGGGGGCGGTGGATCCTCGGGCTTTTTTCACACCTTTCGGGGCATTGATTCCGATCGTGAAACCGTCGATCGTAGCCCGTTATCATTGTTACCCGCTTTTGTTGCTGCATTTCATATTGTTATTATTGGGACGTGATCGGTTCTTTGTTTTGAAATTCATGTCCCAACAAACACACAAAAATCACTTTGTTACCCGCCTTTGCTAATATCGACTTATACGTGTATATATTCGAATACAGTGGGTGCTCTAATGGTAGAAATAATTAATTAATTAAATAAAATAATTAAATACTTTAGAATGTTATCAGTATAATTATTTTTAAGGTTTTTAAAGTGTTGTGTATATATTTATTGTACTAGTTATAATTGTATATTATTACTCATTTTCAAGAAGATATTATACACAAATAGGGCTTGTTAATAAGATTAGATAGAATATTTTCTTAGAAAAAAGCCTTAAACAAAAACGTAATTAAAAAAATTAAATTCAGAAAAGAAATATGTTTAATGTTTAATGTTTAAAATATTTAATTGTATATATATATATTTTTTTCTAATTTTCACACAGGACTTACATTGAAAAAATATGTTTAAATATATATAAAAGTTATATATAAATTAAAAAACAAATCTACCAAATATTAAAAAAAAAGGAAAATTAAGTCACGTAAAGAAAAATATTTATACCCTTTTAGAAATATTTCTTTTTATTTATCTATAAAAACACACAAATAATAATTTTAATGTTTACTAAAATATTTGATTATCAATCATAGTTGCTACTTTGATCTTTATTGGTTAAAAATAAAATATTAAAATAAGAAAAGCTAGAAATTTTATTAGTTATTTATCTTGTTAATAAAAACATTAATATATTATTATTTTTAAATATATGTAAATGTTTATTATTTAGAGCCTGCATTACCCATCTTAAAGCTACTTAACATCTTTCTTTATTCATAATTTCATTTAAAAAAGCGAATTTCTATTTATTAACTCCATAAAACCTATTTTGTAGTACTTTGTTCATCCTTTAGATATAGTTCTGAACTTGAAACAACGAATTACTGTTTTGCACAACTGCTATATAGTGTAGTCATAGGGCAAAGTCTTTATTCTTGATACGATTCGTATTTGTTGTCGAGGCTCCAGCACATCGGCGTCGTCGTCAACCACCTAGTTTTGTTGCTGTTTTTCTTTTATTTCGATTTTGTTCAAGTATTTAACTTGTTCTTTGTTATTGTTTTCACTTATTTTGTTGCTAAGTTGCCGGGGGTATTAATTCATTCTTGGGCCTGTTGTTGATTCTTGCCAATCGGTGCTGCATCAGCTGGCTTATCGAGCTTCTGTTTTTCTACACTTGTTGAGGGATTTTAAATTTGTTGAAGAGAGAGTGCTATCTCATAGATAATTTGTTTACCGATAACTGAGGGGGAGTGTACAATGGACAGGTTATTTTTGCATTATATTTACCCATGAAAAATATGCTAAATATGTGATAAGCAAATCAAGGAAATTTTAAGTTGGAGAGGTGTGGTGGAAATATTACAAGGGTATTATATTATAATATTATTGAAAATTATCTTAGTTAAATTTAAAAATTTAAAAATAGAACAAATATTTACAATCATTTTATAAATTATTTCATTGCCCCTGTATTTTCCTAAAAAATCATTCAAATCAACTTGAAATATCATGACCCAAAGTCATGATTTAAATCCTGAAGAATCAGTGTTAGGCGATATCTGGGCTATATATAACATTGCTTTGACTTATCACAAAAAAAAATCGTATTAACAATTATAAACTTGTGCTATTGAGATTCTAGCCAGCTTATGCCCAAGCCTCTGGTCTAAATATACTTATATATAGCCCCTCTTGAAGCTAATCGCAAGATTGGCACTGAGTTTTCATGGCTTCCGTTGATAAGTTGAAAATCCCCAGCGGAGAATGGCATTTTCCATAGCTTTCAGGCGATAAGAATCATATCGAAATGTTTCAATTTAGATAAAGAACTTGCTAGTCGTCGTCACAGCGATCTTTGGACATCAGGTGAGTAACTGTAACCCGATATATTTAATTGATTTAGAGCAACACCTGCACAAAGTGCAAAATATATATACTATATATCAATCTATAGATGTCTTACAGAAATCCAATCACTCAGCTGACCGAAGTTTAACCACTTTCTTGGCATATGTGAAGCTGTTTCCCCCCGGTTCGACTTTGATCCTCCAGTAATCGCTGACGTCGGAAGTGCTTAGGGCAACAATGTGTAGCCAAGTCAATAAATATGTGTCATCTGTGAGGAAATATTGGCTTTGAGAAAATATTTACTGTGGAAATCCAAGCATGAATAATCTTTAAGTCGGGAAAAATGTTTGTGTGTTCGAACAAAAAAATAGGCTGACTTGTCATGAACTCTCAAAAATATATTTCCTATTGGACTATAGACTAGGCTGAGTTGAAATATTATAGTGGTGAAAAAAAGTCGAATATTTTTATAGCCTGTCAGATGAGGTCAGTTACCGTCCAGGTCTATGTTTTTTCTTGAGGTATATAATTTAAGGTAATAGATAATAAGTTTTAAGTGTGCCTAAAAGCTCTTAATGGTTTTTAAGTAGGTTCCCAGAAAAAAAGGTAGTACTACCTTATTTATTTGTTGGAAACTAAGTAAAATTACTTCAAAGCTGACTTAATGTTTAACAAATATATTTTTAGATTGCTAATTGTCAAAAGATATACTTTATGTGAGTATTTTTAAAATAAATGAATATTACTTTATTCAAAATATAAATAGAAAACGCCAGAATTGTTTAGGGTAGTCTTTATAATTTTTAAAATTATTTATAGCATTAAAATAGATAATTGTAAAGTTTTGTGACGTTAAAAATAATAAAGGTTGAAATTTATATTAAATGAATTGTTAATAATAAATAAGTAAATATTGTCCTTATTTAACAGCGTATACTTAATATATAAATCAATTTGATTCACACTAATAAATGGCTTAAAAAATCCTAAATGTAAATAAAATAACAATTAAATAAATACAAAAAGCGCATACTTATAAAGTAAAGAATTTTAATACCTTTTAATTGTTTGTAAAATAATTATACTTAAAACATGTAACAATAAATCTTATTTATTTAATAAAATAAGAACTTGCATACATATTTAATATTTCATTAAATATGCAGACTTAAAATAGGTAATAATACGAATATAAATCTCTCAAATAAAACCTCTTTTAGTTCTTTATTAAGAAATCATCGATTTATTTGCCATATCTCCACACGGCGTATACGTAATATTAGCTATTTCATTTTCTTGGCTAATTTCCATTTCTACCCCTTTTTTATATAATAATGTTAAGTAATTAATCAACAAGAGCTTTTTGGCTCTCAATACGTGGTCATTATCTTTATAGCAGGCCGCACATAGAAATTTATACAACTGCCATAATTTAGATAACTTAAATGTTGAAAAATGTTAAATTTATCAGCCAACCACCAACACCCAAAGCGTTGATAACGAAAAAAAGGTGTTTGAGTAGAAATTAAAACAAAAAAAGAAAGAGAGAAACTGCAATCATGGCCAAGTGAAACCAACGATGAACTTCACCCGGCGTTGGTGGCCTTCAAAAATGGCCAAAGAAAGTTGAGAATTTCAGTTTCAAGTGCTGCAATCAGCAAAATGTGCAAATGCGCGAAAAAGAGGCAAAATAATTGGAATTATTCGAGCGTGGTTAAAGTTCGGCCCCCATGGGGTTCTTTCAAAATGGCTAATTGATAGATTAACACGCGCAGATATCTGCAGGCCGATTAAAACCAGTTTATTGTTTCTCAAGCAGGCAATAAAATCAATAATAAACAAGCCGACCAAAAGCTTTTTAAAGTTTTTCCGAGGGTTTGGTTCTGAGATTTTTTAGCTGAGCTTTGAGCGATCAGCCAGTGTTAAGCAGGATTATAATATATTTCCGCCCATTTTTTATAATTTTTTTTAAGAAGTAGAAAGATTTAGTTGTGATTATTATTTTTAATATTTTATTAAGTTAAGGGTTTGGATATGTCGTTATTTTTAATAAAATAAATATTATTATTAAATAATTTATTAATATAATAAATAAATTACTCTAATATAATAAATATTATTATTATTGTATTTATTATTAATATAATTTATATATTTATAGGACTTCTTATAAAAGATTCTTATTTTTATACTTATTTATCCAATTTTTTGTTTCTTTTTTTACGAATATTTTAGTCCCATTTAAAACAATATATCTTAGCGCATTTATCACCATGTTAAATTGCTATTTATCACAAATATTTCCGAGTTAACTTATTTACTTTCTTCATATATTTTGTTTAAGCAATTAAATATAAGTAAAAATTAATATTAAATATAGGTCATGTTCTTTAGATAAAAATAAAGCTATATATTATGTATTTTTAAAATCTATTTATATTTTACTAAATTTTTATTACAAAGCACCTGGAACTGTTGGTGTTTTACCAATTTTTCTTCTATTTTATGTATAAATTTAAATATTATAAAAATTATTTATAACTTTAATTTAATTTTACTAAATTTTTATTAAAAAAGTCCTGATAATTTTGGCGTTTTATCAATTTTCGTCCTATTTTTTGTTCAAAAATAATTTGTATAACTATTATTAATAGCTTTAAATAATTTTTTTGTTTAAATCTTGCTTAAATTTTTATCTTTAAATAAAATATACTTTTAAAATTTTAATATATTTAAGAATTAGTTAAGTAAATTATTGATCGTTTTTTATATATTTAAAAAATATATACAATATTGAATTGAATGAAATTATATATTAAAACCTTTACTATATTTAAGATTTACTTGAGGAAATTTTGGATCGTTTTTTAAATATTTAAAAAATATATAAATTATTTAATTAGACTCAATAAAATAATTGAAACTTTTATTAGTCCAAAAGCTTTATGCTTTTAATTTTATAAAAGTTGTTGGGCTTTATTCAGTGCTGTGAAAGGCCTTCGGAGAGAGCTTTTCGTGGGCAATCTCGCTCTCTGTATTTTTGTTTTCCGTCGTCTGCCGTTGTCGTTTTGTCAAGCTTGAGTTGGCCAGTTAATTAATAACAAGAGCTCGGGAGCGTTTTTCGATCTCAGAGTTGTTTTAGCCGCGTTGCCAATTGGACGTCGCCGCATTTTCCGCTCACCTTGCCAACATTTTCGCGTCCTGAAAAAAGCCGCCGCAACATAACGTAAACACCCCACCTGCTTTGCCTCCTCCTCCGCCGCTCCACCACCAACCAAGTCCCTGCCGCCTCTCTTCGTTTTTGGCCAATTGCTAAAAAGTTGGTCTACAGTGAAACGTGAAATCTCTTATTTTAACTTTGACGAACAACAACAAAAATTAAATATCTCTGTGCTCCGTTCGAGGCGTATATATTTCTTTCAATTTTTTTTGTGTTCGCGGTAAGTTGCGTTTACATTATGCTCCATAGAAAGCAGATTTTTGGGCATTGTATTTGAAGATTTATATATATATTTTTTACTATTTTTGTCGTACTTTTTATTTATACCTTTGGGCAGTGCGCATGCGCAGCTACGTTGACACACTTTCTGACTCCACCTGGCCGCCGTGCTTACACTTACCTGCCACAAGGCAACTTACGGAGCTCTAGCTTTTGGCCATAAAAACAATTACCACTTGCTTTTTGCCTGCTGACGTTAGCTGCATTTCGTCAGCGCGTGTGCCTCCGTAATAACCGAAAGAAAACCCCTCCTACCTCCTACCTCCTACCAAAAGAGGTATCATAATATCCATAACTCACCGATCTTCGGTAGCTGATCATATCTTTCGGGGTTAAGTTAAGTGGAAATCACTGGGAGGCAGATGAGGGCGGCTGGGAAATTACTTCACAACCGCCGTTCGTTCGAGTGTGTGAAAATGTGCGCTTGCTCGTCGGGTGTCATGTTGTGTGTTAAATGAGTCATTTTCATGAGCTAAAATAATGTTTATTATCATTTGTATTGCATTTTGACAGAAAAGTGAGGTGTAGATTTTTAAAAGGGCGTTTAGATGGGATGCTTAGTTAGAGGGAGGTGTAAATTTGAATACCTCAGGTGACTTTTAATGAAGTAAAACAATTGTTTGTTTTTTGAAAGAGTTGTTATGATGTATTTTAAATGAATTACTCATTTAATTTAATTTTTGAGGTGAACTGTAGGGGCTGTAGGTGAGTTAACTAAAAATTAAAATTAAAAGGCAGAAAGTTAGAATGCTTTATTAAATTAAAAGTACTTTTAAAAAAGATTCATATTGGATAATCTTAAAAAAAAATTGTCCAAAAATTTATACCAAGAAATATGTTTAAAGAGACTAAATTTCTAAATAATTTATAACTAATTACTACTAAATTAATTATTATAAAATATTTTTAAGCAGACTTAAACATTTTCTAAATAATTTATTCTCTAAAATATTTTAACAGTGACTAAAAAAATTGCTAAACAATTTATACTATGAAATACAAATTTTTTAAAGAGACTTAAGAATTTACGTTTTGGTAAAGATGTTTGATTTTCTTATTGTTAAATAAATAAAATTTATTAAAATAAATATTTTACTCATTTAATTAATAGCAAAATAGCTTAAAAAATTATTTGTAAATCCTATTTAACTTTTTCTTGACCGTTTAATTTAAATCTATACTTTTTTTATCGGGTTTTATAAGATATCTGTGTTTTAGATATTTATTTAAGCAAATTTTTAAAGCATTTGGAAGTTATATTTATATTTATGAGTTCCTTGGTTAATTTTTTCTTGGTAAGAAAAATGCTAAAATAATAGTATTGGCATTAAATTTCAGAAATATATATTTTCTTAGTTAATATTAATTGGCAATTAATATTAATATTTATAAAACAATATTCTTAGTAATTTGTTAGTTAATTTTAACTGGCAATTGATTAAAAAATTACCAAGAATATTATTTTTTCTTGTTATTTAATTTTAAAAATGTTCTTAAAGTATTTTTCTTTACAAACCCAGTTCTTAGTTAATTATTTAACCCATAGACCTAAAATTTTCTGCTGCTCTAGAAAGAGGCTTGTCCTTGCTGTTCCATTTATCAGGCTCTCCCCGGCTGTCACCTCTACCTTTAATGAATGCAAATGTAACACCCAATTGAAATGCAAATTGAGGCATCATAGAGCCGTCCCATTCCCACCCTGAAGTTGCCTTGTCTGATTTTAATTTCGATCGATTCACGGGATCGACGGTCGCCGAACGTGGTTCATAAATATTTCAGACACCAATCAGCCGAGTCACTGGGCAATGAAAACGTATGCTCTGGGTAATTGAGTTTTTTGTTTTTATTTTAATTGAATTATTTACCGCAGCTTACTTATCTGCTATTCTATTCGGTGTTTGGGTAACTAATTTGGGCCTACAACTGAGAATTCTATTTCCACATACATTTAGTATGTGGTGATGTATAGCAGTCGCAAGTGACCTTGCCGATCGCTATGAAGAGTCACCGAGAAATAAGTGAACTCAAAACCAGTTAAACTTCTTTTTTAGGCCAAGCGAGTGTGTGTGTGGGCACAAAATTTACCCAAATTGTTAACATTTTGTCAAGCGAAGGATACCCAAAAGAGAGACTTGCGAAAAATACAAAAAGCCGTTATTGAATCTGGAAATTTACATATTTTTTTTCTGAATACAACAGAAGCACACACAAGCAGCAGAAGTCGGCTTGGATTGTACTTGGAACTGAAGGCGAATTTTTATAGCTGCCGATCGCTCTGTGCGATCCGAGTCGCTTGATTTTGGCATTGTGAAAGAAATCTGAAACCGGCTATTCCTGCTTCTCTAGAATGATACGAGTACGATTTATATTTATGTATATATTTTTTTTGCTCTGACGAGCCGGTTAAGTGGGTGAGTCAAAGAATTTCGGGGGTTTGTAATGGGTATGGGTGTAAGTTTAGAGGCAGTTTTTGGCAATGTGCAATGAGTTATAGCCTGGCTGTGTCCTAGATTGAGTTTTATAAGTTAATTTACTTTGCAATATGAGGAAATATTTATATTTAAATTTTCTAAGAAATATTTGCTGTAAAAAAACCTACAGCTTTTAAAGATAATAAATAATATAAAAATTGCTTTTGATTCTAAAAAAATTTATTTAAATTTGTGATAGATTTTAATATTTAACTAAAAAAATAATACATTAATTTTATTTTTTAAAACATTTTTGTTTCTGTAAAAAAGCCTACAATATATAAAGATTTTTTAAATAAAATTTGATTTTGCTTTTAAAAAGTGTTTTAGAAATTTCAGATTTTTGTATTTTATTTATTTATTATTTAATTATTTTTTTTTGATTATTATTTACAGTCAGATTTTTTTATTTTTTGCAATATATATATATTAAAACCTTACCTTGTCATAGCCTTAAACCTGTTTTTGCACATTTAAATTTAATAAGCCACCATTTTTAATTGCTTATAATAATTAGCCTTAGAATAATTAAATGGTACTTAAATTCTATTTTGTATGCATTTAATTTGTTTGTTCAATTAAAAAAACGTTTGACATTACAGTGCCGGCATTAAATGAAACGTTCTTTAAAAATCTTAATTTGTAAATCGAAAAGAAATGATAATGGCTTAATAAATCTACCAAACATTTTCACTTAATCAACGAAACTTTGCTTTTATTGCAAAACAACACAAAATAATAGTAATAAGAAATGTACATGGCTTTCTATGGCCGTAATTTCCACATGTTCAATGACTGCAATTTTCAAAAATTAAACTCATAAATGCAACATTATTTTAATAGATTTTTTATGCGGATCAACAGATTAAATTACTCGATCGAATTTATTGATTAACAACAATCTTGAATGCTGTTTTTTAATATAAAAAATTTTCTATGATTATTTATTACAAATAATAGAATAAAATATATATTTTGAAAGTTTTTAGGTTGTTTTTTATATTAAAAAAAATCTTTATTATCTTTTATTACAAAATAATATATTTTGAAAGTTAAAAGCTTATATTTATACCTTAACTGGAAATTAAGGATTTTCCCCAGCAGTTAGGTAAATTGTTTTTAATTTGCATTTTATGTTTTTAATGACTTTCATTGATTGGCTCCTAACCCGGCTAATTGCTTTGGCATCGCTAGAATCCAAGTAGACTTTGATAAATTAAATTTGATATTCTAAACACGTAGACTTTTGTTCTCAGCTAACATTGCACATGTTGCATATATTTATAATAAATATACGGGATTGACCCATTTAAAAGTCAGGGGCAAATACGAGCCTTAAATATATATTTGCTTGATCATCTAAGTCCATTGTTGAAATGTTCCAGTTTCAATTAGCTATTCAAACAAGTGACTTGACATATTCATATTTTTCCAGCAAGTAGTTTAACTTAAATGGGGTATATTTATTTGCTAAACGGGTTTGTAGGTGCATGAAAAATATTTATAAATAATTTAGAACTGAACTAATTCTTTTTAGTATTTTTAAATCAATAAAGTCAGCTATTAAAGGTCTTTAAATCAACTTCAGAGGGTATTTATGGCTTCGATTTTCATTTATTTACGCCAAGACTTGCTTTGTCATCTATTGTAAAAAGTAAAGAGAGCAAAAAATAGCTACAAAACTAAAGAGAAACAAGAAAGGAAGCTAACTTCGGCACGCCGAAGTTTGTATACCCTTGCAGATTGGTTTTCATATTTATATTATAAATTATAATGCCGAAAACAGACACTAAACGGAGTTTCATAACATTTTACCTATACTTAATATGTTTACAGTTTGACAGTTACAGTTATACATTCCCAGCTTTACATTTTCTCTACATCTACGGATCACTTATATGGCAGCTATATTATATAGTTCTCCGATTTTCATAATATTGTTACCAAAATTCTGAAATAATACTAAAAGCTCATGTCTCAAAGTAGATGAAAATACGTTGAAAAACAACGAAGTTATAATTTTTTCTATCGCTTTCCCTATCGTTCCTATGGCAGCTATAAGATATAGTCGTCCGATATTCATTAAATTTATACCAAAATTTTGAAATAATACCAGAAGCTCATGTCTCAAAGTAGATGAAAATACGTTGAAAAAGAACGAAGTTATAATTTTTTCTATTACCTTCCCTATCGTTCCTATGGCAGCTATAAGATATAGTGGTCCGATTTTCATAAAATTTTTACCAAAATTCAAAAGTAATATATAATGGCCATGTCTTAAAAATTGTGCAAAAATGTTAAAAAACATCCAAGTTATAATTTTTTTTCTAAAAATTTATCGAACATTTGTATGACAGCTATATGATATAGTCGTCCGATCCGGCCCGTTCCGACATATATAGCAGTGAGAGTATATAGAAGACTATATGTAAAGTTTCATTCAGATAGCTTTAAAACTGAGGGACTAGTTTGCGTAGAAACGGACAGACGGACAGACGGACGGACAGACGGACAGACGGACGGACAGACGGACATGGCTAGATCGACTCGGCTGGTGATGCTGATCAATAATATATATACTTTATAGGGTCGGAAACGTCTCCTTCACTGCGTTGCAAACTTCTGACTGAAATTATAATACCCTGCAAGGGTATAAAAACTGTAATTTGCATTTAATAGCCAGAGCTTGTTGATGGTATTGATCATTTTTCATATGACTTGTTTATTTATGCATATCATGTTGGCTTTATTTCTAAGTGCATTTCATTTAATGTTCGCTTTGTATCGCTTTATTTTTATTCCTTTTTTTTGTGTAGTTAACTTGGAATTGATTAGACAGCAGCAGTTTGTTTTCGGGATTATATCTGTGTAGTGTAGGCTAATCTATATACAATAATAGCATGTTATGGCTGGACTTAACCCGATTAGACTTTCGAAGACTGAATTTTGAAGCCAGTTCCTTTGTTCTCTACGCTTTTGTTTGCCGATACCAGTTATCAGCTTCTCCCGACTCGCCCTCAGATTGATAGCTAAATATATATATGTAGCCGACTAATTGCACTTCGCTTCATGGGTCCACAATTTCCGGATACAAAAGGCAGCTCAGCTCCATTTCAATTCAGTTGAAACAAGCAAAAGGCCACAAAAGTTCAGCGGAATTCAGTGAAATACGAGCACAATACAATTATTGAGGTAGGTGAAGTTGCGCCACATAATACCAGCTATTAATGGATGTATCTCTGGATATAGTAGGTAATTATCTGCTTACGTCAGGACTTTGATCGGCACCTGAAAGTTTTCTGAATCTGCCTGAAACACAACATCCGGCAGATTGGCATCTCAGTACTTTGTTGGGGTCATAAAAAAGTAAACAGGGCTTACAATCGAGCTTTTAAACTCTGGCTTATTGATTGAATACTTGTTAAGGTGTTTCTGATTTTAATTGAAATTGTGCAACTACAAATTTTCCGTTAACATGTAAATACAAACAGTCATCGGCGGAATTTGACCAAATAAACAATTGGCTGACTAAAGTTTGCAAGCTAATATTGCAAAAAAATATTGGTAATTGAATAGTAGTTGTTCAAAGGTCTTAAGACTTTCCCAATTATGGAAATTTTATGATCTCACTGGTAGAAACAAGTAAGATGATAGACTGTGAGATACTCCTTAGGCAAAGCCTTTTTTTTATTAAGGTAAACAATTATAAGAATCACTAAAAGCTTTAAAATAAGTGTTAATTTTCCGATATAATACCAATATTTTGATATATCGATCTAAGTCGATATTTTAATGTAGACAATTAAGCGTAGCGATATACAAATGTTCAATAAATTGATATTCTGTGAAATATGTCGGAAGAAATGTATCCGGTAAAAGGGAGAAATAATTTTAAAACAATTTTTAAAATTTATTTCGATAAATAAAGATTCGATAACAAATTCCATACCTTTAAAAAATATCGGAAATTATCGATGTGGTTTTAGGTCGATATTTCTCCGATGAATCCAAATTTTCCTCTCGATATATATGTATACCTATCCAATGAAATATTTATAAAAAGTCCCGACTTTGGCTTAGATTAAATATGAAAATATTAATTTTAAATATTAAATGTAAATATATATAAGTATTTTTAAAATAAATCAAATTGTTTATTTAATTTTCTTTTTTTTCCTTTTTATATAAGTTGTAAGGTTTTGATAGTACAATAAACTTTCAACATTAAAAAACCCGATTCTTGTAAATTTTCCTTCCATAAATAGCAAGAATATTTAGCCCTCTTCCCTTTCGCTTTCAGTGGAAATATTTCAACAATTAAACTCGTTTAAAAAAGTTCAAGTTCATTCAAAAGGAATCGCAAACTGCATTTAACTTAAAGTCCTCTTCAAGGTTAACCTATATAAAAAACTTGTATAAAGACAATAACCTGATTCGATGAATGCTGAGTCACCGTGAGTTCGCTACGTTCTCAGAGTGACTTAAATTAAATACGATATTAAGTGGAGAAGCACCAAGAGAATAATTTAAACTTGCTGATCAAAGATCAGTTCCTGGTAATTAACACCTATTTAATACTAAAAACTAAACAGAAAACAATGTGTTATGTCAACTATATTCTTAGGAGTGTCTGTGACAAACAAATTAACTGAAATGGAGGAAAAGCCTTAACTAAATTGCTTAAGTTGATGATCTTTTTATCTAAGTATTTTTTGCGCATTACAACTTGATATTAACCCTTTTTTTAGAGCAATTTACTTGACATTTTGCATGCAGGTAATTGGCCATTACGTGACTCAGGAAACCTGTGTCGAGAGAAACTGTCTCAAAACTAAGATTACGCCTAGTTTTTCGCATGTCACACCCAAATCTTCCGTCACTACTTCGTTGTAGTATTATTTAATTGGATTTTACAACAGCCAAAGAGAAGATTGACCAAGAAATTAGTATGCGCATAACTTAATGGGCTGTTGAACTCCACAGCAAAGCACAAAAAGCCCAAAGTAAATATGAGGCATTCATTGACGAAATTTCTGGAAGTCAACGAAAAATCATAAAGTCTCAACAAAAAGCCACTGCCGTGGCCAGAATGACAAAACAGAAATGACCAACGTTTTTCTTTCGGCTCCAATTTAATTTATCCACCAATCTCTGCTCTTGGCCTTGACTTTTACCTTCATTCGCGACGAAAAAACTTTGATAGTGGTTTTTAGTAAAAACTTTTTACACACAAAAAAAAAAACTTACTAATTGCTTTGGATCATAAGAGCAGCCGTAAATCAGATTTAATGGTCAGCGACATGTACTCTACTCCAGCGGCTAGTTCAACCAGATTCTGTAACTTCTCAATCTCGATTTTTTGCTTTTATTGCCATTGTCAAGTCCTTCATGACAGGGCATAGATCACCGCCCGGCTCACAGTTTGCTACGTCATCGAGCGGTTTTTTTTATAAAAATTTTTGGTTTCTTTTTTATTATGATTTTTCGATTTTGTTTTGCTAGCCAAGGTGTTGCCAAGTCGTCTGCGAGCCAAAGGGGCGGCGCACGTTTCGGCTTAGGCAGACAAAAAAAAAACTAAAAAAACTAAAATAAAATAGACAGGAAGTGTATGAAAGTGACATACTGAATAAGAGAGACCCTTACAAATATAGGAAAACAAAATATTATTAAAAAATAATTTGTTTTGTTCAATAATTAATAGTATTAACAGGTGTTGTTAAAGAATTTCTTATTAACAATTGTATGGGTAAATTTTCTAGGGTATTTTTGCCATTTTTGAATTAAAATTTTAAGACCAGGTGCTTTTTAAGTTAAATATTAATAATAAGAAAATATGATTTAGCCAATATTTAAATTTTACGAGCACAGCTTTAAGTATCGGTTTTGAGATATCGACAAAAATATCCGTGACATATCAGAAAATATCGTCAAACTTATTTATATCGATGCTGGAAATATCGAAAATTATTAAAATATTCTTTTATATTATTAAATGTCATGAGAAAATTATTAAAATATTTTTTTTTTATTAAATGTTCTTAGAAGGTTTTTTTGAATTAAAAAAAAATTATTTTCATATTTAATTGTTAAAAAATACACAAGTAATAATGACATAAATATATACCGACACGTAAAAGCATATATTTTTTATTTTAATTTTTTAACATACATTTTTTCTTTTTTTTTAACTTTAATTTTTATTTAAAATGGATTTTTGTAAGCTTTTAATCTAATATTTATCTTATATGTTCTCTATTCACTTTTAACAATATTTTATAGTTATAACCTCATAAAGATTCTTCGCCTTCTTGTCTCTCGTTTTGAATAAAATTATTAAATTAAAAATATTTTTAAGTATATATAAGTACCCTGACCCCAACACACTCGTTCTGATGGTTTTGACTAATGACCTGAGAAGTGTTCAAGCCCCTTGACCGAATTGCACTAACCTTTTGCAGTGAGGGTATCCACACTCACATCCACTTCTACAACCATCAACTTTTAGCCATCGAACGCACGTTGTGCGACCAGTTTTGGGCACTATTGTCTATGCTATCTAACAGTCTATCTACGAGTATAAAATCTACATATATATATAAGTTTACCTGTTTGTCAGGCGGCTTCTTCTCTTCCGTTGTGGCAATTTTGCGGTGACTTTTGCTAATGAAGATCAGCATTGAGTCATAAAGTCTACACACGACAAGAAATTTGATTTATTAGTTATAATAATATCTTTGATTTGAAATAAAAAATAACTAAAATTTCTCTAAATTTATTATTAATTTAAAAGTAATATCTTTCAGCATTTTAATGTTTAATTTAAATTCCAAATACTTCTTGTTTCAATGCCTAATAATTTCTAATTTCAACCCCAAAAAGATCATACTGATATATATATTTTAAAGACTTTAAAAAGATCATAGATTTGGATAGGAAATAAGATAAATTTGACCTTCATTCTAAGTCAATATTTTTTTGTCGGGTGTAGCATCTATATATATAAATTTATATATACTTTGGACAGTTTCCATTGGACCAAGCAAGGCATTGAACTGTTGCCGCTTTTGCTTTGGCTCTTGCTTTCGGCCAAAGCTGCGGAAGTAACCCAGTTGTGCCAATCGCTTTGAGGAAACGCTTGCCAAACCACTCAAAATGTTCGAGTCGAGAGCTAAACAATTTTATTCTCGTTTGCAGCTTGAGCCGGTGAACATCTAGCGGAGATCACACGGATTGCAGAACGATTAGCAGATACAGAGATCACAGATAGAACTATAATCAGTATGGGCAAGGCGGATTGCATTAGCTACGATGAGCAGAAGGTGCCCTACATCGATCTGGGCTCGGCGCAGATCCGCATGGACAAGGATCAGGCACCAGAGTGGGCTCTAAAGAAGGCACAGGACGAGCTGCGTGAGGTGCCCGGCGTTAAAGAGCAGGCGATCAAGGAGCTCAGGGAACTTATTCAAAGTGAGTGAATGGGTTTAATTAGAGTAATGGAATTATAAATAAATATATACATTATAATTATTTTTATAGATGAAAAGTATCTTAACCTGCCGCTGGATGATGAGTACATGATGATGTTCCTGCGTCCTTGCCATTATTATCCAGAGAGTGCCTTGAAAAGGGTGAGTTTTGATGGTGAAAAAGGTTGAAGTGTCTTTGATATTAATTTTAGAAAAATAAGAAAATGGAAAACAAATGGATTATATTTTTAAAATATTTAAATATTTTTATCTTATTCTAAATATGCAATGTAAAATTGTAGTAACGAATGTGTGAACTTTGTGACATGTACAAATATTTTTAAAATTGTGGAAAAATTTATGAATCCTCTTTTTAATGTGCAAAGTTCTAAAAATTTCTTAATTACTAATTTAACCCCTAATAATTTATACTTTCAGCTCAAGAACTTTTATCACATGAAGCTCAAGTACGGAATTGCTTGCGAGAATATAATTCCCGGCAAATTGCGTAATGTTTTCGAGGCAAATATTCTTAATTTGCTGCCCCAAAGAGATCAACATGGTCGCCGACTTTTGGTGCTGGAAGCAGGCAGTAAGTACAGGCTTTATTATTAACCTAAAAAATATAAATCCTAATTGTTCAATTATTCTAGAAAAATGGAAGCCTTCCCAGGTGCCCTTGGTGGACCTATTCCGTGGCATTCAGCTTACCGTCTTGGGTTCCATGGTTGAACCTTATTCACAAATCTGCGGAGCTGTGGTTATCATCGATATGGAGGGTAATTGTCTTGAAAAAGAATTATACAACGTTCATAAATGTTTATGGAGCTGGCTTAATATTATCTTGCAGGTCTGCCACTAAGCCACATTACACAATTTACACCGTCATTTGCCGCCATGCTGCTGGATTATATTCAGGAATGCATATGCATGCGTCTGAAGGCGGTTCACATTGTGAATAACTCGTATATATTCAATATGCTCTTTGCCATATTCAAGCCATTCATTCGTGAAAAGCTGCGCAAGAGGGTAAGTTACTTGTAAAGATTGAAAGATATATATTTTATTTATTAATAATTTCTATTGTTTAGATCTTCTTCCATGGAAAGGACTTCAAGTCCCTGATCTCTCACATTGAGGCCAGTGCCTTGCCGCCCAAATATGGTGGTTCTGCCACCTGGGAACTGCCGCCTGGCAAAGTTCTTGGCGAATTCTTTGAATGCTATTCCAAGGACTATGAAAGTACGATATTTTATAGATTTTTTAAACTTAATTTCTTAACTAATTTATTTTATTTTTGCTTTTTCAGTGGCTGACAGCTATGGCTACACAGAGGGCTATAAAATGAAGAAGTAAATACTGTGTAATAACCATCCCTCAAATCCAAATTTAAGCCCAAGTCCTTTCCCTATTCGATTCGTATTTTAGTCACTTAAGTTGGGTCATTTGTGATATTGCAAATATTGTCGTAATTTAAGTCTTAGTCTCTTTGCCTTTAAATTTAAGCAACTGTTAAATGTTAAAAACACAAATTGGCAAATTCATGATCAAAGTTAAGATTTTGATTAGGGGTTTTCTAAGCATTAAATTTGATACTATATTTTTACTATATATTTTCTATAATTGTTATTGAAATAATAAAGAAATGTAAAGATATCTTAAAAAAGAAATAAAAATTGTTTTTATTTAATTATATCGGACACTTACCATAGATTATGAATGACACTTATGACACTTATTCATAGAAATGAAAATTGTTTTTATTTAATTATATCGGACACTTACCATAGATTAGCTAAAAAATATCTAGAGGAAAAGTTCGATTCAAGTCGATAAAAGTATTGCGCTCAATATGATGCTGTATCGAAATTTTAAATATCGAAAAATATCGAGTTTGGCGGTAAAGTTTACAACTATTTTATAAACTTTATATATATATCCAACAATGTAGTTTAAACCAAGTTGATACTCTTCTGTTGCACAAGGAAATTGGTCTTATATTTTGTATATGGTATAGATTTATCGTACGTTTATCGCCACAATCAAATAGCGATTAATATCAATACGGTATTGTTATATCGATATTTTAGACCACCCAATTTTCTTCACACTATTGAAGTGTAACCTGAGTCCCAAAGGATCTTTGTTGCACAAGGAAATTGGTCTGATATTTTGATTATAGATATATCGTACTTATATTGCTACAATAAAATATCGATTTATATCAAAACAGTATTGATATATCGATATTATCGGCAACCTTCTCTACACTATTGAAGTCAGTTACTTGTGTCTCAAAGGATCTTTGTTTTTAAAATATATATTTTCTTAATCAACCCCGATCAATCCGATTTTTTAGTCTTACTCCCACATAAGAAAATCCATAAATTTTATATAAAATATTTAATTCGACACAATCCGTCATGAATTCGTCATGAAAACACATTTTAAATACAAAACATTTTTTTTTAACAACTAGGGAATGTAAAAAGAGTATTCGTTAGCTAAACGAAGATGGACTTCGGGGCTATCTAATCTTTGGCATAGGCACGGGGAATGGTTGGAATTTCGTTGGATGCTTTGTTTTTGGAGTGTCACTAAACTAGTTACTAAGACTAAAGCACTAGGACGGCTTAACTAGCTAGATAGATGACGGCTGGGATGATCTATTCCCAGAGATTATCCATCATTTAATCCTGTCTATTATCGCTGATTGCTGTGGACGCAGTGGCCACGCTCTCGCCAGTCTGCGACTTAATGATGACCGGCTTCTTTGCTTTTTCGAGGAGCGGAGAGCTGTCCGGTGAACCCTTGGCGGCGGAGGCCTTGGCCTTGAGTTCTTCGGCACTGGAGAACTGGGAGCGACTCTTGAACTGGCCATTGCTCTTGCCCTGGGTCTTCAGCTCGTAACGATTGCCCCGGCACCAGGACATTAGGTGCATCACTGGGGCCCAGCAGAGCAGAATCAGTCCGGCGGCCAGACAAATGCCGGCAAATATCTGGCCCGACATCAGGACAATTGGGAGTACCTTCAGCTGATCGGCCATTTCCGGGGTGATTCTCACCTTTTGCTCGAACCAGATGAGCGGAAAGAATATCTTGGGAATGTCCGAGTACAGACCGATTCCGTCGATGGGCTCCACCAGCATGTTGACCTGGAATCGGGCAGCCACCTCCAGGGGAATTCCCGTGCTGGGCTCTACCACCATATAGAATTCGTGATCCTCCTGCTGGGGATTCATGCCCTCCACCTGGTCTATATAGTATTGATCGGCGTTGTAGAAGTGCGGATAGGACATGAAGACGGGTGATCCGAAGCGGCATGAACTGATGTTCATTACGCCCGAGGGAACGCATTCGCCGCCACAATAGCATAGGTTTTCGGGATATTGAGTGCCTGCAGGAAAGTATTGTAAATAATTGAAAATTTAGGAATTTTAAAAGTTTACTTTAAAGATTAATTTAAAATTATGTAAGGATAGTTTAATGATAAGTGCAATATTTTATTATATTTCTTATATTTTAGTCGATGTATAGTGTTGAATTTTTCCCTTTGAAACATCCCCATTCTAATCATGGTATATTTTTTGATTATATAAATAGTTAATCAATAGATTCGTATCAAGATTCCTTAAATAAAATTAAAAAAATCTTACAGCTTCTGAGATTATAGCAAGAAGTACGTAGGTTTTAAACTTGTTTACACTTTACTACTCTTAACATATCGTTTTTATAATGTATTTAATCAACCAGCTAATTCCTTAATTGCCCTTTCAATTAGCAATTAAATCTGTTTACCAAATGTTTAGCAGAACTGCGTCATCAACAACTTGACGATTCAGCTTTAGATTTAATTACAAACGATTAAAAGGCTTTACATTCCGACCTATGTCAACCAACTTTCAGTTAAACAGAACTGTCTCAAAATATTATTAAGGGTTTTAAAGCAATTAGAAGGGTGAAAAGAGTATGCACTAATTTATGAAGCATTCCTAGATGATTCACTATAAAATTTCTTAATAAATTACCATCTTCACTCACCATTATCCACGGAACGTGGTCCCCCAGAGAACTTAAGCCCCTCCAGACCTTCAATTTCCACCGTTTCCACATAATCCAAGGGTATCGTCCTACACATGTCCGGCGTAAAGAGTCCCACACTGTCGCCTGGTCTCAAATGCTGTGGCTGGAACTCTCCGGCGGAGCCATTGGTCATGCCGCAGTACGAGGAAAAGAAGCCAGTGTGATTGACATAATTCCAAGAGCTCATTTGGCCCAATTTGGCCAGTTGATCGGCGCCGGTGAAGACATTAAAAACACCCGTGAGATCTGCACTTCCATTTCGCGTATAAAACCAGCCAAACTTGTCGAAGGGCACCTTTACATCATCCCCAAAAATGGGCATGGCCATGGCCACATCAATCATAGAATCGCTATAACCGGTAAACAAAAGTTCGTCAACTGTCTTCTGGACGGACATCTCGGCGCCATACATCCTGAGACCCACATCGACCATGGCGCGCTTCCCTGTCGACCAGTGCTTGGCCGTGGCAGCTGCAGACTGAAAATAATTTAATATTATTATTACAATCAAGTTCAAATTAATTAAGGGAGTGTAAACTAACCAAAGCCACCGCATTGAGGGTTATTATCTCATCGTCCAAGCTTCCATTGCTGCCCTCTTCATCAAAGTAGAAATAGCTAAGCCGGCGATAGCTTACTGAGGCATTTTCCGGATGCCAGGCAATGTCCACCTTGTCAGGTCGCTCGGTAAATCGATAAGGACCAACCTGCTGCATAATAGGCTTGGTGGAAAAGTTGCCATAATCCTCGGGATTCGTCCAGTTGTAGAGATATATGTCCAGACTTAGGTCCAATGGGGGACTCTTCCAGTTGTCATAGACACGTGTGTCGGGTGCTAGAGCCATTTCCTGCCAAAAGAATAGAGAGATGACAATTGGAATTAATTTAAAAATCTCAACGAGGAAAACTCGATCTCTGACTGGCACCAATTGAGGCGGCTGCTTTTCCTTTTGACTACCCGCTAATCGAATGCAGCTGTTTCATCTGAAAAGTGGACTAAACATATGGCTGAACCTGAAGATGATCTTGAACGTGGACTAGATTGTGATGGATATGAACGAAAATTGATGGAATTAAAATTAAAGAAGTTCTGGTGGGGTTACTTTTTTGGCTTTAATAAATATTTAGAAAAATACTTTAGGCTTCAATCAATAGATTTAAGAAAGAGAAATTAATGAAGGTATTTTCTAGGCCCCTGATTAGCTTGGAAATTTATAAGTAACATTTATTCTCATTGATCCTTTAATTGTAAATACAATTCTACAATTTGTAAATTCTGTTAATAAAACCCTGAAATAGTAAAATTACCTTTTGCATTATCCAATTGAAGAAATCCACCCAGAACATTCCGCACAATATGCCAAATAGTCCCAGGCAGAAGCCAAAAATGCTGGTAATTAACTTGCGATTGCTCTTTTGGCCCCACATGGCGCTGTTTTGCGTTGGCATGGCTCACACGCTGTGTGTAATGGTCTCTGTAATGATATGCAAGTTAATAATAACAGCACACACATGGACAAGTTTAGTGACTAATATAGAATTGGCGGATAAAAAAAATAGAATACACGATATGGATATTGTTTAGAGTATGCCAGAAATACTACAGTTCAGTGACAAACAGCAGCAGGCTGCATATTATTTTATTATCTATGATAGGGTGGGTCTTTGAGCTGGGGGATTTAATAAGTTGGTGTTGGATTTATTTATTGTTATTTGTATTTTTTATAATATTTGTAAATGTTTTAATTGTTAATGAGAAATAAGTAACTTTATGAAGGTTATCATGGTAAATATATAAATAAAATTTATTAGATTGTAATAAAAAAATTCTATTAAATTTATTAAGCACACTTTTTGTTTTGTAAATAATTTTATTTTATTTTATTTTTAATTTATTTATATATTGAGCAGTTTTCTTAATTAAAAAATAAACTTAACCCTCGAAATTGTAGCCTACTTTTGGGGCTCTTAAGCAAGAAACAATTTAAATATGTAAAATCACCTCTTAGTTATTTATTTACAAACATATACATGTATAAAATGTTATATATTAAAAATTATATTCAAGTAACGAGAACAAAGAAAGTGTCCAACAATGAATCAAAAGATAATAAGAAATATAGAATGCACAAAAGTGCAGTCACGTTACTTGGATGACAAATTCCCTTTACCTTCTATTTTTATCAATATAATTGAATCAATTTAAGCAAAGCGTGACTCTAAATTGCTGTTTACACCGATGTAGAGTGCGAGAATAATGCGCTTCTAAGCGCGTCATATACATATATACATATAAAACAAATAAATATATAATCGGATCCCATTTCAGTGGTGATAATTACAACAATTCCCATGACACTCACTGAGTTGGTGTTTTTTTTTTTTTAATTAGTTATGATAGTCGTGAGTGGGTCTTCAATTTGCAATTGAATAATGCTTTCACATGTTGTAAACGGAAGCTATATAATTACCATATATAGGAAAAGTATTTAGGACGATTTATTATAAGATCAGTAAGAAAACAATGAACACGTGACTTGAAAAATAGATTTTCTGTACTATCTTAGTTGGTGTAACTAATTACGAGTTTAATTTCTGAGAAAATTTAAGATCAAAGTAAAATGTGGCAGAGAATTAAGAAAGGATAAACAACGAAATATTCTTCAATAAATTCATTAAAGTATAAAAACTCCACAAAATCATTTAAGAACATATTTTAAAGATATATAGTTTAGGTTTAGTAGTTGATTTCTCAAGCTATCTTTATCTTAAATGAATAATAATTAATTGTAGCTTATATTTTTAATATATTTAAACCAAATCCCTCTTTGCTAATCTCCCCTGTACACCGATAAGCTGAACCGCTGAGCCTCTAGGTAAACAGACCCATGAGGAAGACATCGTAGATAATTGAGGAAATTGAACTGCACTGCACTTATCGCTTATCAAAAAATCCATCGCCAGACAATTATACAAACGATCTGCACAGAGTTCCCAACACCTCCTATGTATACATCAGCATATCTGCATAAAAATGTATAAATTTCGAGATATAAATAAGGGTACAAAAGTACCCAAGAAGCTCTCATCACATCTCTGCGATATATCGTCATAATTGAGTCTATCAATTGACCCCGCTGTGAGCTATGGTTGGGTCTTTGACACTTTCCGTTATTGCACATGAATACGAATACGATTCTATATATATATGTATATCACCATTATATATAATGCTGATTCGGGAGCGTGTCAGCTCAGTCCTTGTGTCGGGTAAATTGATATGATTATGTCTTTTGAATGATGAATGACTGTCGTCGTCGTCGTTGGGCATTTGTCGGCGCCTTTTTATTGTCTTGACAATTGTGGCCAGAGTGAGTTTTAATTGGAGTGGACATTGAACACACAGGTGCATATCGTAGAGTTCATCCCCCGCATTTCTAAGCTGATTCAATTAGATCAAGAGCAGCACAAGAGAGATTCATGCCATCACTGAATAATAATTGCTTTCAATTAAGTATTAAAAAATTTCCGGCAGACCGAGATATTTTCATTCATTATTAAATTTAGCAGGCAAGTGGGTCTGTCTTCCAGGCGAGTCTGTTGATCTTTCTTATTAACATTTTGCCTGAAAGCATTGAAAGCACTGAACGCTTTAAGAATATTCTATGCAAATGCAGAAGGAACACTGAACTCGTTAATAAAAAGCACAGTGAAAGTGTGGAATAAAGATAAAAAGTGCAAGTAAGCTGAAAATTAAGTGCTTGTTGGGAGAGGAAGTAGGTAGTTATTCATGATTAACTGAAAGATCATCCGCTATAGTTAGAGCTATCTGTGTTTGAAATCTAATACTCGGAATTCTCATCTCATAACACCTTTGTTTTTAGATTTTATTGCCATTTCCCAATACCTGACACTTGACCACAAACTCTGGCATTGAGACGCCACCACAAATCGCAGATTCGTCGCAGTTTCTGTAAAAAGAGAACTTGCATTTTGTTTGAACGAGTTCTTTGATAATGAGCTATCCTCCCCATGCAATTCTCGCAACCTTCAACGGCGGAAATACTCGCGTCGAAAAAAAAAATAGAAAAAACTATAAATAAATTATTGGTTTGGGTTCATTTTCAAACACAGTGTTTTGTCCCAATGGGCGTGCAAATTCGAAAATAAATTTGGTATTTTAAAAGACACACGCAATGCCAATTACAGAATTAGTTCAAATGGAGTGGAACCATTGGTAGTAATTCATCAATCAGTCATCCCTCGCTTACAGCTGACTCACTCTAAAAATTCTAACTGAATTAAGTGTGGAAAAATATAATTAACTGACGACAGCTTAGACCTATTAAGGTATCGTTGTTTAAATATGCATGCAACTAATGCAATTAATTCGATAAACTGGAACTGCATTCTAACGGATCGTATGAGTAATTTGTTGTTTTACAGCTGTTTCCATTGAGTATTTTGCTTTTATTAACTAAAAGGTTCGTAAACAAACAATAAATCAGGTGCTGAGTAACTTCTTTAGTTCTGGGGGAGCTTTGTTTTGCAATTTACACAAAAGAAAATACAAAATGTATGTACTATTTTACATTGTTTAAATAAAGCCTGAGAAACCTACAGCTCAATGACTTGAACTTAAGGCAGCCAATGGGTCGTATACATAATTTGTTGTTAAGGGAAAAATATGTAGAATATAAAAGCACAGATGTTTTGTGGCTTTAGCAAAGCAAACATTGTTAAATATTTATGTTATTAAATGAATTAATTAATTTTTTTAATAAATTTCATTTATTTAGAAGCACACGCAATAGCAATTGATAAGCAAAAATCTCGAGTTTCTTTGTTTATAGTTGTTTTTTAATCAAAAGTTCAAATTCCTTAATAAACTTTAAGTTTTTTAATAGTTTTTCTTTACTGAGAAGAGCACACGCAACTACAATTAGCAAACACAAATTAACATTCAATTGACTTGAACTTTAAATGGTCAACAGGTCGTATGCGTAACCCGATTTTCAGCAGCTATATTCCGTGAACGATTCAAAGGGAAAAGGGATTTCCAATTTCCCTTTACATAAGAATCACATTTTAATATAATTAAAGGAAATATTAAAGCAAGTGCCTTTGCAATCAATAAGCTTGAACTTGACCCGGCTCACGGGTCGTATGCGCACTTTGTTCATAAGCCGTTGGAGTGTAGAATATATTTTAAATATTTAGAATATTTATCAAAAAACATCAACAGGTTGTGTCTGGCAGCCCTTTTGTTTTGCATGCCGTGGCTTTTATTTTCTCTCCCCCAAACAAGGCAAATATAAATAAACACAATGAGAGTGTATACTATAGGTTTGGGTACTTATGTCTGGCGACTGTTTTTCTTTCTTGTCGAGTTGATTTCATTTAATGGCCTGTAATCTTAATAAGTCCGTCGGCGATTAAACCAAATTGAGCCATCGGTTAATTCGTTAAAAGGGAAAGAATACTACGATATGGGTTAGCAAGGCATTTGCATTCCTGTTGGGTCTTTTCTTTATATCTCCTGTATGTTTTTTCTCGCTTCCTGGCTGAGCACTCACTTGATTTTTATTTGCTAAATAGAAACAAATCACAGTTTTCTATTTCCAATATTTTTATCGGTTATCCCGTATCCTGGCAAGGAAATTGAAATTCGATAAGGACGTTTGTGGACACAACGCTTGAGCACGTGGAGGATTATTATATATTTTTTTGTGTCTTCGAGAGACCGGAAAACTGTGCGCGGGGAAAATGCGTGTGAAGGTCCGTATAAATTCCGTACAATGGCACCGTTAAGCCCGGCGACGCGACATCGACTGTGCGGCGGACTCTCGGCGAACGGACCCTCTATCCGCTTGAGTGCCGCGGAGCAGCACAGTCGGCGCCAGCGGCAGTGGCGTTTGGAGAGAGACTGGGGAGCGGTAGGTGGCGGCGGAGCAGAGTAGAGCGGAGCGGTCACCGTTTGTTCCTCTTACTTGACGGCGGCTCATGAATGGCAGTCAAGTGCGGCACATGGAAGTGCACTTGGAAAAAATAGAACTAGAAATATAAATATATGGCAAAAATATTTTTCTTACAAATTTAAAAATGTATGTTAATGTTTAGTTAAAGAATTTATTTTGAAAAAAAAAAATTATTTTTTTTTGAAATTTAAAAATATATAATTTAATGTTTAGTTAAAGAATTGATTTTGGAAAATAAAAATAATTTTTTTTTTATTTAAAAATATTAAATTAATGTTTAGTTAAATAATATATTTTGAAACTACACACATAAAATTAAAACTTGTTAATTATATTTTATTTCTAGAATTCATAAATTTATAAAATAAAATTTTAATTGGAAAAGAGTACTTGGTGTATTTTTGTTCCAAATTTGGATGTTTTTTTTACAGTATTTTTTTTTCAATCTTTAATAATTATTAAAATGCAAGTTATTTATTATTTAATGTAATAACATATAAATTTTAATATTCAAAACCTCCAAATTCATTAAAACACTTTTTTTGTATATAAAGCCTTAAAAATTTCCTTATAACTCCCCATTTCTCTAGGTGTAAGAATGAAAATGGGCTTGAGAAGAGCGCGAAAGTCGTGCTTATGTCTGCCTGCGTGTGTGTGTGTGTGTGAGTTAATTTGCGCTTCGACTGCCATAGTTTTGCCATTGAATTTTAAATTAAACTATATAAAATCTGAAGCGCAAGCATGACTTTCAAACTGCATTTAAATGCAGGAATTCTAAGATAAAAACATTACTAAAAAACTTTATAAATAATTAAATCGGAAATCCTGATCTTAAAACGACCTGGTAAGCATGACTTTTTACTTTTTTTTTTATTACAATGCAGGAATAACGCAAAGGTTCAATGGTTAAAATTATGAAATCCTGAAGGGAAAAACTGTAAAGCAAGCATGACTTTCAAAACTGCATTTAAATGAAGGAATACTGTTATTTATTTATTATTCATTAAGGCCTGAGGCTACTTTAATGTGATTTGTTATTTAGTAAGGTTTTTACTGCAATTATTTAATGTAATCTAAAAAAATCGAATTTAAAATTATGTAAATATGTAATTATGTAAATAAATAAAATGCTTATTAAATCTAACTATTTAATTTTAATTATTTTAAAACGCAGCTTAAATTTACATTTAATCTAAGATTTATATTAACAAATAGACAATCAAATATTATTATTATTTATTTAATTTTAAATCTTAAAGAACTCAATTACGCCTTAAAACTAGGTCATAATTTACAGATGCACTTGGATTTACTTGGAAGTGAACGGATTTTTCGCAAAATTCATCAGAATGGCGATTGGAAAAGTAAACAAATCATAAAGTAAAAACCGAAATTGATAACAAATTATTGAAGCCTTATCAAGGCGGCTAATCGTGATGATTAGCGCTGAGTGCAGCACACACACTAACGGTCGCTAACACATGTAAGCTGATCAAAGTTTTCGACTTTTCCATTTCGCATATTACTGGGCCACAACTCTCACGGCCCGAAAATCGAACCACTGAGGCAATAAAGCAATCAGATGTCGTTGCCTCAGCCGAGTTTCCTTATTGGATTATTCGTTTGTCTCGTGCGTATGCGGATTAGTGTTTAGTTGGGGCCAAAAGTCACTTACTGCCGCCTGGCGATTATGTTGCAATGTTTGCAGAAGTGGAGCATATTCTGTTGGCTGTGGGGGTGAGTTTTCAATTGGGTTGGGTCGGTTTTTTCACTTCGGCTGTGGGTCTGGGACAGGGCTTTTCATTTCAAGCTGTTCGGTGTTGGAACGAATCGGTTTCCCTCAATTCAAGCAGAGTCTGTCAGGTGACATTTTAGTGTTGTAGCGGTCAGCTTTTAGGCGCTTGATAAAGGTGATACGTAATACGTAACGTAAGGCAAACTAAATAGTATTAAATTTTGAAAAGAAAAAATTTAGAAATTTAAAAAAAAAGTGAAACATAATTATCTCTTTACTTTGTTAAATTAAATATATATATTTTGTTATTTTTGAAACAATTTTTTTTTATTTGAAATTTAAATTATATAATATTTTTATTTAATTATTTTTTGTTTTTATTTAAAAAATATTTATATTTTTGTAATATTTTGTTTCTCAATTTTTTGAATTTGTTATAATAAAATATTTTTTTTTTATTGTTTAATATAATATATTTTATTTTGATATTAATAATTTTTTTAATTAAAATATTTTGAGTATCAAATGATTGTGAATTCTTTTTAGAGTTGTGTCTAATAATAATTTAAGAGATTTAGTTTGAAATATTTTTACACCTTTGCGGTCTTAATTAAAATTTAAACAAGTAAAAAAAAAATTAATTAAATCTCTGGCCTGTTATTATAAAAGTATAGTTATAGAAAATATAAGAAGGAAATATTTCGAATTTAATTTAGGTTTTAATTTTAAAAATCGTGTATGAAATATTACATTTAAGCAGAGTATTAATAAATATCTCCAGAAACTGTGTTTAAATTATATAACCATTTAATAATAAAATTTTCCAATAATATAAACTAAAATTGAAACAAATTCAACACATTTCACATTTTTAACATATAATTAGCAACTGTTTTTTTATTTAAATTTTTGTTCTTTGTACTTTTTGTTCGCATACTTGGCGCTGCTTAGATTATTTTACATTTATTTAATAAATAATAAGTTAAGTAAATAATTCATTTGTTTAGTTATTCCCCAACATGTATGGGATGCGAGTGATTTGTGGAGTTGGCAGCGGTCTCTTCCAGGTGATGTGTGAATCGAAATTGAATGAGGATAATGAGGTAGCAGGTGGCAGCGCCAGTAATCTATAAACAAATACAATTTCATTTATATTCAATTTAAAAATAAAATAAAAATAAAACTCACGGTAAAAATCAAAGTACGATCCAAGCGAAACAGTCCAGCGGCTGTAAAAAGAACCTTCCGGTGGGATAATTGCAAGGAGAGTCGAAAAAGGCGATCTCTTAACTCCGGATCATCGGTGATATTCAGGATCTTGTGAACTATGGCTGCGGTATGGTTGCTATGTACAATTGTGCGGCTGCTGGCCTCCACAATCAGTACTATAATTACTATATACCATATCAGTTGCATAAGAAAAAAGGCGAAAAACTCGTCTGTTTCAAAGACATCCAATCTTTTGGGATTCAAAATAGCTTCGAGGATGTAAAAGTCATCAAAGAGAATGAACAGAAAGGATATGGCGATGATGCCGAGCAGCGGATATGTGAAATACTCCTCGATGGTTTGGCAGATGTCGCAGAGAAGATTGTGTATGTTGGAGACCTGCTTGATGGCATATTCCGGATTAAGACGTATTATCGAGGTGACACTGTACCGCTTCATTGGAGTGCTAATCAAATTTCGGAGGCGATGCGAGTAACGCCTGTGATTGACCACCGAATGCATGGGAGAGAGTTCCAAGGCACTATACTGCTCAATGTGGGCATCCAAAATGTCCTGGAGGATCTGGGGGAGGGAAAGGGAATGTATTAAAAATAAAAAATATTTAATTAGTGTATTTTTCATGGTTTTTTTTTCGAATACATAATTAAAATATCAAATTAATCTCCCTTCAACCACAACTCACTTCATTTAACATGCTGAACCGACTCCTTGCCAAGTCCGTTGTGCAGAGAAACTTGAAGACCATCAAACTGATGTTGATGTGCGGCAGGGCAAAGGTTGTAAAGGTCACAAACGAGGGCGAGATGGTGGCACTGACCAGCAGGCCATAGCTAACGCACAGATAGATGACATTGAACAGGAGCATTCCCAGAGAGATCAAAAAGCTGGACAAAAGGATCCTCCGGTAGTCCAGCTTCATGCCCAGCCTCACGAATATCTCATCCACCACGATATTATTCTGGATGATGCTCACCAAGCGTTGTCTTTTGAACATGGCAAAACCAAAGATGGTGGACATGGCCAAAATGCCAGTCAGGCGAAGGGTTCCATCGCCCAAACGCGTGATATTCGTTTGAAAGAAGTATCCTATTATGGAGTCACCTTCCCTAACGGATATGCCAAAACACAGGACAAAGAACAGGAAGTGCACTATGCCGGCGATAAAGGAATATGTCGAAGTCTGCACTTCCTTGCGGGGATTCAAGTTTAAACGAAACGGAGCCAGACCCAAAAGGGATATGTAAGTCAAGGGACGAAGAGCCTGAAAAACATTATCCGCCTGGGAAATGCGCTCCCACAATTTTAAAGCCATTTCCGGTTTAAGATTTTGCAAGTATATCCGTAAAAGCAATCGTATCAAGTACTTTTGAGATATATTTCTTTATGGGTCTTGAAAATTCCACCACTGAAACGTCCGCTCGATTCGCGTATTTAGCGCCAACTGACAGCGGAAGTCCCTTGCTGGATGATGATGATTGCCTTTGTGCCAACTGAAGACACGGCTGATATATCATATATCAAAATCGTTAAAGGGCTGTCACACACCTTCGCACACGTAATAAGCTAATACCGATAGCGGCAAATATTTAATTAACCTTAAACGATGGGGTGAGTTCGGTGGTGGACAAGGTCGTTTAACAAACAAGTTCAGCGAGTTCAAAGGAATTCATTACATGGCCCTTTTTTTTGGTCAAGTTTAGTACTTTTTTGTGTACTGGCTATTAATTACAATTGGCAAACAATTTATGGCAGGCATTAAGTGGCCAAAAGTTCGTTTTTGGGTAATTAGTATTAAGTAATTTGTTGATGGGTATCAAACTGAAAGGACATACATTTTTTTGTAGATAAATTAATTCTCTAAATAATATATATAAAATTATAAATAAATAATATAAGTATTTAAATACTCCTTCATTGGTCTAAAAACTAGATTATTTTTGCATTTCCCTTGAAGTTTACTTTATAAATAAATACACCTTTAACGATTATATCCTTTTATTTCCAATTATTGGCTCACATAGACAAATATTAGGTACTTTTTCAAAGCAAACAACAATAATAACATTTACAAAAAATACATATTCTGCTGGACGTATTTTATATCATTTCACCAACTCCATTAAGTTTACAATTCACTAGAAAACCCCTCTACAGCGTATGATTCGTCATATTATTGTAAGAGTCGCAGCAGGAGGGGCCATTCCCATAGCCATTGTTAGGGGAATTGGATGTGAACTGCAGCAAGATGATGAGATAGGTGGTCAAGGCCCCGCTGATCTGTAAAAAAGGATAAAGCCAATGAAAGAAGTATTATTAATATAATCGAACATCAAATGTGGCCTACTTTTTGGGGAGCCTTTCATCAATTAATAAAATTTCTCTTCTCTCTATAAAATTTATAGTATAAATCAATCTAAAACTCTATAAATCAATCTAAAAAATATTAAAAAATCTAAACAAATATTTACTCACCGTAAAATACAAAGTTCGATCAATGTTAAAAAGTCCCGCAGCTGTAAAATTAATTTTCAGATGCATCAGCTGCATAGAAAATTGCTGTAGCTTCTCCTTGACCTCTGCACTTTTAGTTTTATTCAAAAGTGAGTGCACTATACCGCCCGTTTTCTCGCTTTTCTTTATAGCCCGATTGCTGCCTTCGACAATCGAAACTATGGCAATCAGATACAAGATCATTTGACACGAGAAAAATGTCACAAATTCCACGGTTTTGAATTTACTTTCTCGCTTTGATTTGCCCAGCAAAGTTTCCAGGACATAATAAGCATCAAAGACGATGATGAGAAAGGCTATGGATATAATGGTCAACAGTTGGTAGGTGAAATATTTGTTGGCCGTTGCCGCTGCCTCGCAAATCAGATGATGTATCTCCATGGATTCCTGTATTATCTCGGCTGGATCCTTGGTCACAATGGTGTACATTGAAAAAGAGTCCAGGCACTGAAGAGAACGCTGCTTTTGGGTGACTGCCTTAATGCTTCGTGAGTCCCATTGATGGGCAAGGTTTTTCAAGACCTGTAACAAGATGAAATAAGGCAAGATATTAGTTAAAGTTCTTAACAATCTATTGTTATCTTAACCTTATTCAAAGCACTTAGATATATGCGCAGTTTGATGAGTAAATTTCCCGACAGAAAGCAAACAGCACAGACTATAAAAAGTGGGGAAAAATAACTGATCATCGAGGATATCGAAAATGTAGCCGCATCCCTCAAGCTGATCATTAGAAAACTGCCTGTTATATAGGCGGTTGTAGTGCCCACTAAGAACATGATGGATTTATTCATTTTTTTGGCTGCCGGTAACTGATGCAGGGCCACGCCCACCCGCGGAAAGGCCTCCCGTTCGAGACCATCGAAAATTTCCATCACTTCCACAAGTTTTCTGCGCTTGAGCAATGAAAACAAAAGTATGGTAATTATGCCCAACATTCCGTTTATCCTCTGTAGACCATCTATCATATTGGATACGTCCGTGAGAAAGAAGTTGGACATCAGGGAATCGTGATCCATGAGGCTGTAGAGAAAGTTTCCCATATAAATGACCATTCGGACGAGGATGTTGACATAGCCGAAATAGGAGGCTGTTAGCTGGCTCCTCTCCGTGTTACTGGTCACGTAATAAGGAACAATTCCGAGCCAGAGGGCCACAAACAGGGTTAAGCGGTAACAGGTGTAGACGTCGTGTGGACGACACTTCTCAACCAATCGCGTGAAGAGCCACATGGCGTATGATTATTTTGTTCAGCCCGAGGACTAGCGACGCACACAAGCAGGATAGGAATCTCCTCTAATGAATTAAAAAGGCCAATAATCTTCAGTGCAGTTAATTAAACGGACAGCTAAAGCTGTCTATAAAACCAGTTTGGAATGACTTAATATTTGTTAAAGCAAGAAATATTAATTCAAGTCATGGAAATGGGAGTATTGGTTGAGATACTATATTGATTCTAGGAGAATATTGATTGAGAAATATTAATTTTGTACACAGAAATTTGAATGTTAGTTGGGAAATATTATATTTGAATACAAAAATGTGTATTTGGATATGAAATATTATTTTTTTTGCCAAAAAAATGGTAGTTATAGTTAAGAAACATTTTTTCTGGTCCCAGAAATGGGAATATTGACTAAGAAATATAAATTTTGGATGGAATAGATTAGAATATTATCTAAAAAAATAAATATCTGGCTATAAAAATATTGAAATATTGGTTAAAAATATTTTTAACCACAAAAATGTGAATATTTATTAAAAATAATAATTGTTACTACAAAAAATGGATATATAGGTTACGAAGTATTAATTTTGACCAAAGAAATATGAATTTGGGTTGACAAATATATATTTCTATAGTTTAATTAAATTCTATACATTATTTAAAGGAATTTGTAATGACAAAAAATAAAATATTAAAGTTTTAACCTTGATAAATATTTAATACTAATTTTAAACAAAAACTTGAACTTAAATTTTTCATCGTATTGGAATAATAATTTTTTTTTACTGTTGGTTTTTATATTACCAGATTAAGAGATTTGCTTAAAAGCTACTTTAAAAAATATCCTTTAAAATTTTAAAACATGTTTAATTAACAAAATATTTCTTCACAACATTTACCAACCTTGTTAAGCACATCAAAGTGCTGCCACAGACGATGTAAATTAGCTCCAAACAGCATCACAATGCTAAGTAAAAATATTTGTGGCACATAAAAGGCCACTGCTGCCGTGTAAATGGGTCTGACATTGTTTCGTAACAACAACCACATTGAGCTGATCAAATAGGCCAATTGAACACTTGTTATGAGAAAGATTTTCAAGTGTCGCAATCTCATGATGGCCGAGTAATTAAAGCAGACACCCAAGTTCAGGAAACGCTCGTCAATACAGGATATACGATCCCAAATCCGAATTAGCAACCGAACTCGAATGCTGCTGCACAGAAACAGGATAGACATGCCTGTCATGCCAATGAATTTTTGCAAAGAGTCTCCCATCTGGGAGATTTCCGACTTGAAGAAATAACCCACAATACTCTGCTGTTCAATTAGGGCCAACAGAAAGCAGTAGCTAAAGAAACTCAACTGGATAAGGGCATTGAGATAGCCAAATTTACTTAGCTGAAATTGCCTTTCACCTGCCTGACCCCTCAGACGAAAGGGGGTCAGGCCCAACAAATAGGTACAAAATAGTAAAGTTTGCTCCGCTCCAAAAGCATCCCTTGGACTGAATAATTCCCGATAGAAATTTAACATTTCCGTTCCGAAAGAAATCTTTTCACTAATCCTTTTGATTCCCTTACATCTCCTTATATAGCTTAACCCCATAACTTCCTTCAGTGATTAGTTTTTAAAGTATTTATGACCCACACCTTGCTGCTGGTTGTCGTCATGGCTGGTTAAATATTATCCGTTTTCCAGCGCTGACAGCTCGGTAATGGAAACCCGTCCATCACCCACCGACAAAGTTCCCATTTAATGACAGTTTATGAAATAATATAAAAGTCGAGTCTGGTTTGGGAGTTGTCCTTTGTCTCTGTTAGCCTGGCTCGGTCATGGTCAGTGTTTGTGGCGGACTAATTAATTTAATTGAATCAACTGAGTTTAATTGAAAACACTTTAAAAACTTGGTTAAACGGGGTTGGTAGGTTATGTATGGTAGTTTATGTCGTTATTTTTACAGTCCTTTGGGGAGTAGCTTTGTTTGCAATATCCTTAGGTATTTATAAATAATTGCGACAGTTTTTTGGGAAACTAAAGAAATTGAAGCACGAATTAAACGTTTAAATTTTGATATTTATCGTTATTATCGAAAAATATGCCAATATCGTTATTATCGAAAAATTTTGCAACAAAATGTATGCGATTTATTTTTCAACAAAAGATGCATCGACATATTAAATATCGATATAATAACGATAATATTACTTAACGGTTAAAAATCGATGCTAGCGATATCAAAAACTTTAGTTTTTTATTAATTGACAAAAACACCGTGCTCATTATCGAAATACTATATCGAAAATATATTGGACTTTCATGTATCAAAATGTTAAGTAGTAAGTAGTATCGACGTTATCGCTATTATCGAAAAATATCATATATTAATTTTTATTATTTTTTAATTCCTTCTATACATCCAATAGAATATTGATTTATCGCAACCTTATAATTTATATATCGTTTTTTACCTTACCTTATTGACCATCACCAAACGCATCTCCACCAGGTAGGTAAAGCAGGTAAACACCGTAATGGAGATGGCTATGACCGTATGCTGGATGAGAAAGGTAAAATGCAGGGCCATGGTGGGTTTGACCAGCGAGGAGTACAGCACAGAGAAGGTGCCGCAGGTGAACATAAAGTGGACCAAAAACATGGATATCAAAATCATATAGCTGAAGCGAAGCACCTTGCTGTACATGATCTTAATCCCCATCGTCTGCAGCTGGACATCCATTGTGTGGAACTTCTGGAGGCAGCGTTCCAGTCGATGGTTGGGTATGATGGCCGTGAGATAGATGACAGTGACACCTATAAAGCCACTCACGATCTGCATCATGTCCCCAAAGTAGGTGATGCGAGAACGAAAAAAGTAACTGGCCACCGACTCGCAATTGTTATAGATCGTAAGGCTATAGCACACAGTATAGAGTCCAATGTGCATTAGTCCATTTAGATAGCCAAAGACGGTCCTCTTGATGCTCCTCCGACCCGTCTTGCTGTCGCAGCTCAAATAAAACGAGGTGAGACCGTGCATGTAGGTCACATGGAAGAGCGGCCGAAGGCACTCGTAAAGCTGCTTGGCGCTCACAAATTTCTTAAATCTGCGACGCAAGGGCTGGCACAGTCCTGTAGGAACTTCTATCTCCACGGTGTCCACATGATCCACAGATGACGAAGTCGTGGTGTCCTTGGCCCTTTCTATATCCATGTCCGCTACGTTGGAGCTCTAACCGGCGACTGACGCCGAGGACCGCAAATGATTTGCATTTTACTGGAAGACACCTCCCGGAAAGGACCTACCCGCGAGGTGGGGCCAAGCAAAAGTAAATAATTTTCCCATTTTTATACGAGTACTCCGGGTCTAGACGAGCCGCTCGCCGCTGTCCGCTGTCATGTTGCGACCATTAACCTATTAGCTTAAGCTGTTGCATTTTAATTAATGGTTCTGCCTGCCAGGGGAAATAATTCCCCAGAGTAAACCCACGATTTCCCCCTAACATATACAGGGAAGTTTTTTTCGGATCAATGAATGGCTTCTTCTTTTTTTGGGCCACTTTTATTGAAGAGGGGGATTCATACCATAAGCCTAATTAATTTCATGGTTTCCATGAAACGCACAAAATGAATTTATGTCAATTGTTCGGGAGGTTATTATAATTCTTATTATGTATGTTAGTCCTTTTTGTCAGATGAGATTTGGTTAGTTAGGCATGAGTTATGGCCTTCATAAATATGACATCGACAAGAGCTCATTCGTTTTATTAGTTACGAGGGGTCAAATGGGTTCGTCAGTTGATTTAAATAAGGCGCAGAAAGGTCTTAATATGTTTTGGGAATTTATGCAGAGTGAAATTCTTGGAAAGCAGAGTAATTTGCATATTTTTTGTCTTTAAAAAAGAGCTTGGGATAAAGGGGTTTTAAGGGAAAATTGAGTATGTATGTGTAAGTATCTATTTTTGTAAAAGAGTTTTTCTGGCTGGAAATATTATTGAAAAGTAAATAAAAAAGAAAACTATTTAAAGAAAATGCTTTAAATTGGTTTACAAACCCCAGCCTCTAAGTAGGCAACACATTTTCAGCTTAATTTATTCCATTACCTTTAGTTGAAGCTACCAAAAATTAATTTGCATAGACAAACGCGTTATTCAATCCACTTTTCCAAAAAAAACTGTCTACACTTGTTGACCAAATAGTCTAGGCCTAGTTATTTGCCATTCCCCCAACCACAACAGACAAACTTAATTACTAAAAGTGTCACATTAAATCATAACAAACGATCTATAAGTGTTGCTATGGCTTTATATAAATTCATTTTCGCACTTGATTTGATTTGTGATTGCTAAAACTCCCGCCACGCTGTCTGTCACAGGCAAACCTAAACATTTACCTGTTTCACTCACCTGATTGATGATACTGAGGCGACGTTCGAAACTAAATGCAATCACGCAGAACAAACAAATCGCAATGGAGACCACCGTATGCTGCAGGAAAAATGTCATGCACACACAAAACGATGGCCTAACATCCAGAGAGACCAGCAGACGGAACACTCCCACGAAATACACTCCCAGAATTAAGAGCTTGAAGACCAGCACCAGTATGGAGTACCGAAAGATCCTTGAGTACTTGACTCTTATACCAATATTCGAGAAATTCGTATCCAAACTGTGCAGTATGGTCAGCGTTCCCAGCAGTTTGCAGCGCTTCAAAATGGCTGAGGTGTAAATCACAGCTCCGGCTATCAGGCCATTAAATATCTGCAGGCGATCGCCAATAGTGGAGATCTCTGTGCGAAAAAAGTAACCCACAATGGACTCTCCCTGGCGCAGGGATGAGATATAGCAAAACCCACACAGACATATGTAGATGAATATGTTGAAGATACCAAAACAGGACATCTTCAGGTAGGATTCGCCCATCTTCTTTTTGACCACATGGAAGGGCGTTAGACCGTAGAGAAAGGTGAGGAAGAAGAGAGGACGCAGAGCCTCGTACACCTGCGAGGATATAAAGTATTTGCGCACTCTTCTAAGCGCGGACATGGTGCCGAAATCCAAGCTTTATACCGGAAACCGGAAATGAAAAAAAAATGCACAGCGCAGAACACGACCGTTCGGGTGAAGGAGTCAACGCAAACTGGCTGGCAAATGGCAAAAAGAAGGGAAAAACAGAAACGACTGCCGAGCAAGGGATGCAAACGAAGTGAGGCGGCCATAAAGGATAGGGAAAAAGGACCTGGGAAGTAGACAGGGTAACTTAGTGAAGTGGTGTAAAAGCGATATAAAAAAAGTAGAAGAAATATCCGTCTACGGAAGTTGTATCCGGCGAAAAGCTTATTATCACGTTGTCTAGGATAACCAACAACAAGTGGCATTTGATAGCAACAAGTGTTTTTATTCTCCCCACTTTAAATTGATGTCAGTGATGGCAATATACTTTTCAAAATATATTAAATTTAAATATAAGAATTAAAAATATATATGTAGTTTAAATTTATTAAAAATTATGTTTTTTTAATAAATGAATAATTATAAAAATTATTTTCCATTTGCTTTACTTTGAAGTATACTTTATTTTCGTTGTTCTAATTCAAGGATATTGTTCTAGCTTCAACTCAAAAATGTTAATAATTTTATATACTATATTTCCCGTTTTTTTGCTCCATATATAAGTAACAAAACAAACATGGTCTTAACTTAAATATTTCTACCTTTGAAAAAATACCCCGACTTGGCATCCCTGTTCCCGTGTCCTTGTAAAAGATGCCTCGATTTAATTCAGTTGTCAGACCATAAAAAGATAACTCCTGCCAGCAAGTGTGCGAGAATCTCTCTGTGTGTTGTGTGTGTTGTTGTGTGCTCCGTGACGAGCAATTCATTATCTTCATTATGGAGGGACTCTAGGGTCTCGAGTCTCGGGTAATCGCATATCTGGCCACACTCGACTAATGTCTGGGAGATATGGAAACTAAGAAGGAGGATGCAAATGGAGGGGGACTGTGTTCCTGGCCATTGGTTAAGCCATAAGCTGATCGGATTTCCCCATACAGTTCCTTGCTCCTTGTGCACAGGGATTACTCTGATTGACAGGTGAGATAGATGATGATTGGATGGGGAAATTCCGTTTGGTAAAAGGAGCTTTTAGTTTAGACTTGGGAAAGCAGCGAGTGTTTACTTCTTGTTTATAGAATTTTAAATGTTATTTTAGATATGAAGAGAGTATTTTGAATTATTTATTCTAATATAAGTTAATTATAACCTTTTAAAAAATACTTATAAAATAAATAAGATATCTATAAAATATTCTCAAAAAATGCACTCACCCTATGCAGACATCTCAATCTCCGCTGTACCGATCTCGTCATCATACAAAATATACAAATGGTAACAGAGGTGACCAGGAGATCAGAGACGAAGAGAAATGTCAGCTGCCAGGAGGCATGGACATCCATTTTGGACAGGCAAACCATACAGGTGGTCAGCAGGGTACCATCCAGCAGGACAACTAATGATATAACCAAAATCAGCAGACCCTGGACCGTGTTAAAGTTCACCGGACACCTGAGCCGCTCCAATCTTTCATCCACGTCGTTCATGGTGTAAACCGATCTCTGGAAATTCTGGCGCAGCAACAAAGGCACAATGAAGGTGCATATGGCCACTATAATCCCACCGATATCGTGCAGCCGAGTGCTGACCTGGGAGACGTGGTTACTCATGAAATACCCAATCAGACTCTCGTTGTTCAGGATGATGTGGACATAGCAGTAGGCGAGGAGCAGCCACCGTGAGATGGCATTGAGGAATCCGTACCAGGACTGCTCCAGGGAGCCTTCGCCCTGGGAATTTCGGTGCACAAGAAAAGGCGTAATCCCTAAACCGAAGGAAATAGCCACCATTAGATTGAGGGGACCGTAACAGTCCCGGGCACTCATCCAGTAGCGCAGCTTGCTCCGGAGCCCTAGCACCGTATCCAGACCGTTGCGAATCATAGTTGCACTCGGAATAAATTGGATTTCAACGGGTAATTGAGGTGGACTTATTTTGGTGAAGTGCCCTTTTTATCGGAGATAAAACCAAAATGATATCGTACACCGGAAAAAATATATATACCTACATATATATAGTTAGATATTTAACAAAATGATCTTTTTGAGAAACTTGCTTATGTATTTTCTTTTTTAAAATATTATTTATATTTTTTTTTTCAATTTTATACCTAAAAAAAATCTTAAAAATATTAACTTATGATGAATTCGGTATTTTATATAACTTGGATTTAATAGAGATTACAATTAATTTTAATAAGAGGTGATATATTTTATTTTTCAAAATTTTTATTGCCTTTTTTTTAATAAATGTTTTTTACTTAATGGTTTTTTTCTGTTTAATGAAATTTGTTATCAGAAATCGGTATCTGCATATGTTGAGGGATTGACGGAATCTTCACATTTGATCCGGAAATTACCAGTTTAATAGGTATTAAAAGTAATGTTGAATATAAATAAATAAATATATTTTCTTTCTAATATATCAGACTTATCCTCTTTTCTTTCAAATAGATTATTGTTTGTTTGAAAAAATAATAATCAATAGCTAATAATAACCTAATAATAATAATTAATACAAAATATTATGACACTAAACAACCTCAAAAATTTACCAATTTCCAGGGTATCTTACCAGAACTTATTTAATTTCTATCTATAATGTCGTCACGGGTTTAATTATTGCGAAAGGCAAATGAAAGCCAAGTACCAGCAGACGCAAAACACAAATTAACATTACCAAATCTTGGCAAAAACAAATCCCCAAGAGACAACAAGCCGGAGACCATCATCTTCAACTGCTGCGCCGGCAAAGTTAACAATGCAAACGAGATTGCACAACGGTTTCCCCCTCCGGTTTAATGAGCTCCCAGCTTCCATCTCCCAACTGCAGCAGCATCGTGCTTTAGTGCATTAAATCATGTGTCTGGCTCAGAATTTTTGTCGCACAATTTGGCTAACAACACTTCAGTCAAAACAATAACAGAGTGGCAGCAGAGAGGGTCTGCTTTGGATTCTGTCGTCAAGCTCGCTTCTCTGACAATGGCGCCGGCATAATAAATAATACGCATTCAGAGACTTGGTTGGATACAACTTTTTTGTTTATATTTTTCACACGTGCTACGCAATGCCGAACACTTTGTATATGCAAAAATGGGGAA